CGGAATTGAACCCGGGACCTTTCAGTCCACAGGGTGACACTCTATCCACTGAGCCAAACCGGTCCCGGCTAAAAGCAATTTTTTTTTTAAATGATGGAGGGAGAAACTTGATGTTGGGAAATGTCTATCTTTTCACCATTTTTTTAAAGCTGGACATTGGAAAGAGACTCCCAGAGACTTCAGTAGCTCCCCTACGCTCAGCTCACAGAATCCCAGTTTGCCATTGGAATATGTATAGCTCACACATTTGAATATGCTTCACTTTGTTTTTTAGGAACTTCTCCATTGCCTGAAGGTGATTGTGTCATTTAGCATAACTTTGGTGGAGAGGGGGGGGGGGGGGATATTGCCCGACACACCCATCACCCTGAGGCTAAGAACTAAGCAAGCACTGGGTTACTGGAAGTGCCCATCTATCAATGAGGGTAAGTTTAACAGGACATATTCCTCTTCGATGTTTCTGCTGTCCTAACAGGCTGGGGAGGTGTGTGATGGCTGCACAAGACCCAGGGTCAGGACAGCAAGGATGGCATCTCTCTTTCCTCCTCCAGCACCTGGCCCGGCACCCAGCATGCTCACGCCCTGGCATACAAAGGAGCTTGCTCAGCACCACCTGCCAGCTGTGTGCCACTGGGTAAGGTACTTCATTCCTTGGAGCCTTAATAGCAAACAAATACTATGCTCGCTTAGAAGGCTCTGTGTGAGCAGGAAATGAGCTCAGAGTAAAGCCCCACGCAGTGCCAGACACATGGCTGTTGGTTCTCTTCCCCTTTCACTTCTGTGTACTTCCTAACCCCGCCCCCATGCCACCAAATTACGTTATTTGAGTCAGGGACTTTGTCTGCCCACTGCCTAGCCCAGGAACTTCCCATAGCGAGTTTCAGTTTATTCATGCATCCAGTGAATCTTCTTTTAAAAATATATTTCGTTGATTTTTTACAGAGAGGAAGGGAGAGGGATAGAGCGTCAGAAACATTGATCAGCTGCCTCCTGCACACCTCCTACTGGGGATGTGCCCGCAACCAAGGTACATGCCCTTGACCGGAATCGAACCTGGCATTCTACAGGCCAACGCTCTATCCACTGAGCCAAACGGTTAGGGCTCAGTGACCCTTTTGAGCATCTATTGTACAATGGACAAAAGCTTGGAGTGGAGAGAGAGCAGGTTCTTTAAGAACCCAGCTAATTGACTAGAACCAAAGAAGTGGGGGCTTCCAGGAAGAAATGATGAGAGAGAGCTAGGATGGTTAATCTGGATTAGTTTTTTGTTAGAGAGAGAGAGAGAGAGAGGGAGAGAGAGAGAGAAAGAGACACACGTTTGTTGTTCCATTTATGTATATATTCATTGGTTGATTCCTGTACCTGTCTGACCAGGGATTGACCCCACAACCTTGATGTATCAAGGAAGATGCTCTAACTAACTGATCTACCTGGCCAGGGCTGGGTGAGCTCCTAAAGTGTTTTGTGGGTCTTATTCACATTTTTGGGCTTTATCCTATAAGTAGAGGATTGCCACTGAACCAAAATGTGGCAGAATTTTTTTTATTTTTATTTTAGAAATGGCTTGTGGTTCTCAGATTTTAGTGTGCTTAAGAATCACCAGGGCCCTAGCTGGTTTGGCTCAGTGGATAGAGCGCCAGCCTATGGACTGAAGGGTCCCAGGTTCGATTGCGGTCAAGGGCATGTACCTTGGTTGTGGGCACATCCCCAGTGCGGAGTGTGCAGGAGGCAGCTGATCGATGTTTCTCTCTCATCGATGTTTCTAACTCTCTATTCCTTTTCCTTTCTCTATGTAAAAAAATCAATGAAATATATTTTAAAAAATAAAAAAAAGAGCCGAAACCGGTTTGGCTCAATGGATAGAACGTCGGCTTGGGTACTGAAAGGTCCCGGGTTCGATTCCGGTCAAGGGCATGTACCTTGGTTGCGGGCATATCCCCAGTAGGGGGTGTGCAAGAGGCAGCTGATAGATGACTCTCTCATCGATGTTTCTAACTCTCTATTCTTCTCTCTTCCTCTCTGTACAAAATCAATAAAATATATTTTTAAAAATAAATAAATAAAAAGAAGAATCACCAGGAAAGCTTATTAAAAAAGGAGGGGTCCCAGAACCACACCGCCTGAGGACATTTCATTGAAACCAGCACCCTAGCCCTGGCCGATTTGTCTCAGTGGATAAAGCCTTGTCCTGTGGACTGAAGGGTCCCGGGTTGCAGGCTCAGTTTCCTGTAGGGAACGTGCAGGAGGCAGCCAATCAATGATTCTCTCATTGACATTTCTATCTCTCCTTCTCCCTTCTGCTCTGAAATCAATAAGGATATATTAGGGAAAAAAAAATCAGCCGGCACTGGTTTGGCTCAGTGGATGGAGTGTTGGCCCATGGACTGGAGGGTCCCGGGTTCGATTCTGGTCAGGGGCGTGTGCCTTGGTTGCGGGCACATCCCCGGTGGGGGGTGTGCAGGAGGCAGCTGGTTGAAGATTCTCTCTCATGGATGTTTCTGACTCTCTATCCCTCTCTCTTCCTCTCTGTGAAAAATCAATAAAATGTATTAAAAAAAAATCAGCACCCTAGTTGATTCCAATTCACTTAAACATTCAGGTACGAGTGGGACTTACCTTAAAACAAAAAGCCCCGTTAGGAGGCTGTTGCAGTAACCCTGGGGAGAGCTGACTTGAACTTGGGCTTTCCCTGCCTCCCCTGCTGCATGGGCCTTCCTCGGCTTGTCTTACAATTAAGGCTTTAAGCCTCCGATTTCCCATGGAGGACCAGCGGGAAGCCCAGCTAATGCTTCCTCACCCGGGGGGCTGGTCAGAGGCTGGAGACAAGGGGACCTATTTGGTAATATTAGATTAGAAGGCAGACTACACAAGACTCGGAGGTGGACTGGACGGGGAGTGTGTAAAAGAGAGGAAGGGGCTAGGATGTCCCGTCTAGCATGGAGCCATGTCGCTTTGGTGTGCCATTCCGTGCACCTGGACGGAGGGAGAGGGGCAGGTCAGAGAGGGGAAAGAGGAATTCAGTTGAGATTTGCTGAGTTTGAGGTGCACCTGGGCCATCCAGGAAGAGATGTTCAGAAGTCAGCTGGATCTATAGGTTGGAAGCTCAGAGCAAGATCTGGACTAGAAATTCAGATTTGAGAATTATTAACACATAGATGAGAATGGAGGGGGGAGAACGGGTCTGCATTCTAGACTCTAGAACACAGCCCGAGAACCATTTTAAGGGAAGGGCGGAGGAGGAAAAGGAATGCCAAGGGATCAAGGACGGGCCAGAGTCGGTGCAAAGTCGCAGGGAGGGAGTTCTAGAGGAGTGAGGAGCTGGCAGGCACACTGGACTCAGCCGAGGCGGCCGTGACCTTGAAGGGAGCAGTGTTCCTGGAGCTGCAGGAACGGCCCCAGAGGCAGTGGGCTGAGGAGAGTGGGAGGGGAGGCAGTGGAGATGGCTGGCATGGACAAATTCTTCAAGACTTTAGGCCCAGAACGGAGAGATATATTGGTGGTAACTGACGACAGAAATAGAACCGCATTTTTAAATTTTTCTTCTTTTTTAAAGAAATATATTTTATTGATTTTTTTACAGAGAGGAAGGGAGAGAGATAGTTAGAAACATCGATGAAAGAAACATCGACCAGCTGCCTCTTGCACACCCTCCACTGGGGATATGCCTGCAACCAAAGTACATGTCCTTTACTGGAATCCAACCTGGGACCCTTCAGTCCTAAGACCTACTACGCTTTATCCACTGAGCCAAACCAGTCAGGGCCCGCTTCTTTCTCTTTGCAGACGTTGTATCTCAGAAGGAAACACAGGGACAAAGGCCAAAATAAAACCTGCTGAAGGGAACCCATTGCACTGATGCTGGGATTTGTTCTTTTTTTTTAATTTATTTTTTATTTTTTTTATTGAGTTTGTACAGAGAGGAAGGGAGAGAGATAGTTAGAAACATCAATGAGAGTCATTGATCAGCTGCCTCTTGCACATCCCCTACTGGGGATGTGCCCACAACCAAGGTATATGCCCTTAACCGGAATTGAACCCGGGTCCCTTCAGTCCCCAAGCCGATGCTCTCTATCCATTGAGCTAAACCGGTTTTGGCTGGGATTTGTTCTTACAGCAGGAGGGAACGTTGCAGGCGTCTTCAAACTACAGCCCGAGGGCCACATGCGGCCCGCAGAGGAGTCTGATCCGGCCCGCCAGGTTTTTTGGGCAGTGAGCGCAGCCGAGGTGTTACAGTAGGAATTAGTAGTTCATATAGTCCGGCCCTCCAGCTCTCTGAGGGACCGTGATCTGGCCCCCACTTTAAAAAGTTTGAGGACCCCTGCAAGGAGGAAATGGTTGGTCGCACTGAAAACCTGATATGGGACAGGGCTCTCCGGCGGATTCTGTTTCCTCCCGGAGGTTGGGAGCCAGGCCCTGAGTGAGGAGTTTGTAGGATGAACGTGTCCCCTCACTCAGCCAGCCTCGCTGTAGGGTCACCAGCGCCGAGGCGGGAACTTGGTTGGAAGCGGGTGGAGCTGAAGCTTTAAAACCCGAAGGAGGAGAGGCTGGCTGGGAGGAAGGAGACGTCCCTCTGACCTGAGGAACCCTGCATTTGGGCCAGTGAACGAGGGCGTGTTTTCCCTAGGACCTCGTGCCGGGGCTACGACTCAGGCTCGTCCAGGCCTCTCCCGGCGTGGGTCTCACGTCCAGGCCTCGAGCCTCCTCGTCCTCGAGGAGGACCAGCTGGAAGCCATTTTGATTAAGCTCCACCACCGAAGGACAATACAGCCCCGCCCAGAGCAGGCGCGCCCCCGCGGCGGGCCGGGTGCGCGTGTCCGCGCCTCTTCCCGACGGCCGGGCAGGCGCCGGGCCCGGGCCGCGGCGGCGCGGGGCGGGGGCGCGGGGCGGTTATGTAAGCGTTGCGCGCTCCCGCGAGGCGGCAGCCAATGGGGAGCCGCGGCGGCTCGTGCTCGCGCACGCAGGGCGGGGGGAGGGAGCGCACGGCGTGCGCGCGCCCTCTCCCTCCTCCACCGCTGCCGCCTCCTTCTTCTGCCGCTCCTGGTGCCGCCTGTGTGCTCGTTTGGTGCGGACCTGGTGCCTCTTTTGTGAAGCGGCAGCTGAGGAGACCCCGGCGCTCGCCATGGCCGACGAAAAGCCCAAGGTGAGTCCGGCGCCGGCCGCCTCGCCTCGCCGCACGGCGGGGTCACGGCGCGGGCTGGTCTCCAGTCCGCGCCGCCGCGGGCTCCCCGCGCCTTCCCGGGTCCCTCACGGGCCGGCCGCGGCTCAGGCCCGGGCGTTCCGCGCCATTTTCCTCCCTCCCCTCTTCCGCCCGCCCGCCCGCGCCGGAGGAGGCTGCGCGGCCTCCCCCGCCCCCGGCCGCCTCAGAGTGCGCGCCGGCGCGAGTGGGGCGGGCGGATCGCGGGCGCCCGCAGGCCAACGGCTGCGAGCGGGGCTCCGGGCGGCGGCGGGCGCGCGGGAGGAGGGGCGTTGGGGCGCGCGGGGTCCCCACCCTCCGCGGACCCCGAGCGGCGCCGAGGCGGGTGCTGCCGCCTCCGCGGCGGCGGGGAGTTCCCTCGGCCGGGACTTCCCCGCGGGGATGAGCGGCGCGGGCGGCCGGGGGCCCGGCCTCGGGCCGCGGCGGCGATCAATGGGCGCCGGCGGCTCGGAAGCCGGATGGCGGCCGGCGGTCCTGCGGGGCCGGGGTTCCCGGGGAGCGCGTCCCAGTTTAATGGCCTCGGGCCCCCCCCGGGGGGGGGAGGGGTAGGGGCTTCTCGGTGTGAAACGGCCCCTCACCTCGGGGGCCATGTGCTTCCGAGAAGTCGGGGTGGGTGTCCGCGCGGAGACTTCGGGCTTAACTTTTTCCGCGGGTTCTGAGCGCCGAGGAGGCTTTTCCCGGGAGGACCCGGCGCGCCTTCCACCTCCCACCTGGCGCCCGGGGCTCCCCGTGCGGCTCGGTTTGGTTCGGGACACCCCCCTCTCACCCCACTTCCTTTCTGAAGTGATGGAGGGGCGACAGGATTCCTGGTGCCCCGGATCTGGGTGAACTTCAGGTTCGGTGGGAATCGGCGGGGAAGACCTGGAATAAACTGCATTTGACTCATGTCAACAAAGGGGAGGGGAGCAAGAGGGCCCTCCACCGAAAACAAACAAAATGAAGCTGCAAGCAGAGGCGAACGGTAATGGTGGTTCTGAGTTACCACCTCCGCTTCGGAGGGAAATCAGGATATTTGCTCCTGCGTGAGTTTTGGTAATGGGACTTGAGATTTAAGTCATCAGATTGAGTTTGGTAACTTGAACGAGTTTTGAGTTTGTTCCCCTGCACCTGTACTTTGAAAAGGGAAAGGACGCTCGTTTTTAATTTTTTAAGGGAAAAGGTAGATTTTGAAAGTGACCGGATATGCCCTTTTAGACAATTAAAGAGAGCCCCGGAGTGAATGGATGGAGTGGGGCTCATCTTTAAAAGTCCATTGCTGCCACTGATCGCTAGTCCTGCACGAGGCTTCGTTTCTGTGTCTGTGGCAGACAGCTATGCAATGTCACCTCAGGGTTTCTCATCTTTTCAGATTGATTTCAGCGGCTGGAAACAGCTGTATGCTCTTGTATCATGTACAGCATGAGAAACCTGTTGATTCCTGAAGCAACTTGGGCTGCAGCTGCTTTAAAAAGGTGTTTGTTTTTTCACATTTTCCAAATTGTACTTTTATTTTTCTTTCAACAGGAAGGAGTCAAGACTGAGAACAACGATCATATTAATTTGAAGGTGGCGGGGCAGGATGGTTCTGTGGTGCAGTTTAAGATTAAGAGGCATACACCACTTAGTAAACTAATGAAAGCCTATTGTGAACGACAGGTGAGGAACTGGCACAAGCACTTTCACTGAATAAAACTTACTTAAATAAAAAACAAACCTTATTTTCATGAGAATAGAAAGGAGACTAACATAATAAGTACACTGACTTTGGTAGAATGAATATGCCCTTATGTATTTGACATCAGTTTTATCATACACTTGGACTTGGTATATTGATTCTTCATGGAAACCCTGAGGATGGGTTGGTTAATATATGACTAGAGTCTAGTCCTGTGCCACAAGTGCATCAAATTATACTCACAACACATGATTTGTTTCCAAGGTGATATAAGAATATAAGGATGAACATAGTAAAATTTTTTGTCAGGCTCTGTTCATTTCAGATTTGTCTTATGTCAAAACTATTTTGACCAGTTTGGAAATACAATTAAATGTGAGGTTTTTTTTTTTGTTTTTTTTTTTTAAGTGAGTTTAAGGACATTGCAATTTTCCTGAAGCGTGTAAAATGTTAATATTCTCTTTTTTACACTAATAGTGGATGTCAAGAAATTTAACCTACCCGAGCTGGCCTGCGAACTGATATGTCCCAGGTTCGATTCTGGTCAAGGGCACATGCCCAGGTTGTGGGCTCCATCCCCAGTGGGGACTTGCAGGAGGCAGCTAATCCATGATTCTCTCTCATCATTGATGTTTCTCTCTCTCCCTCTTCCTTCCTCTCTGAAATCAATAAAAATACCTTTAAAAAAATAAAGAGGAAGCAGAAATATACAGATGCTGGGAGGTAAATGTAAGCTGTAAGACAATGAAGCTTCCCTCCGTGATGAGTAACAATACAAAGGCATCTTTAAAAAATGACTTTTGCAAGTATAACAGAAACTCTAGTACCTACATAAGTGACTTGGCAGAAGTATTTTTAAAATTTTTATTTCTTGATTTTAGACAGGAAATGGGGGTAGAGAGAAACAAATTTATTGTCCCACTTACATATGCATTTATTGGTTTGGCTCTTGTATGTTCCCTGACCAGGAATTGAACACACAATCTTGGTGTATCAGTGACACTCTTACCAACATCTATCCAGCCAGGTCCTCTGTATACTCTTATTTGAAGAATTTTGGTGAAATTCCCCTATTAGTTAGTGAATATGTACTTTTTAATTGTGCTAAAGATTTTTTTTTTGCACTGGCACCTTTCATATTTGAACACAAGTTCCCCTTCAGATTACAGGGGAATTTTTAAAGCTAATCATTTTGTAGAAGTTTTATGTTGCCAAACCTTATATAGAACACAAACGCATGCTTAAATTTGCTGGTTTTCAACAAAATTTTCTGTGTATCTTAAGTTTTCTCTACTATTAAATTTTAGCTATTTAACATTGATTTTTTTAGAGAGAGGAAGAGAGAGAGAAATACTGATTTGTTCCACTTATGCATTCATTGGTCAATTTTTGTATATTCTCTGGGGATCCAACCTGCATCCTTGGTGTATAGGGACAATGTTATAACAAACTGAGTAATGGCCAGGGCTAAATTTTAGCTTTTTCATTATTTTTATTTTTTAATTGATTTTAGAGAGTGAGGAAGGGAGAGGCTAGAGAGGTAGAAACATTGCTGAGATACTGCCTCTAGCATGCTCCCTACTGAGGATGGAACCCACAACCTGGGCGTGTTCCTGACTAGAAATCAAACTCAACCTTTGGTTCATAGGTCAACACTCAACCACCAGGCCACACCGGCCTGGCTGACTCCTTGCCTTTTAATAGCCCATACCTACACTTGGCAGTTGAAAATTCTTGACCATGGATTTGCTATCAAGATTAATTGAATCTGCATATTAACTTTGTAATGAACACATTTGAAGATATGGTGAGTCTGGAGTTTCAGTGGATGTATAATGGGCATCTCAAACTGAACATCCAAAAGAGGACTCTTGATTTTACTTCTAGAAATCTTCTCTGGTGTCCCCACTAAGTAAATAGCAATAGTTAACATTGTTGTGAAAGCCAATACCTTGGGGTCATTATTTATTTTTACTGATTTCAGAGAGGAAGGGAGAGGGACAAAGAGCTAGAAACATTGATGAGAGAAACATCCATCAGCTGCCTCCTGCACACCCCCTACTGGTGATGTGCTGGAAACCAAGATACATGCCCTTGACCAGAATCAAACCTGGGACCCTTCAGTCCATAGGCTGACTCGCTATCCACAGAGCCAAACGAGTTTCGGCAAGTTTGCCTACTTTATGTCAGCCACAAAGTCTTCCCACTGTAGTGTGGATATACCCTACAGATTATTTCATGGAGTGTCAGGTGGTTTCAGAGGGCACAGATTTATTGGATTATTCCAATTCATTTTTGTGAAATGAGAAAATGGACCCAAAGAGATAAGCTCACACAACTATTCAGGCACAACTCTAAAGCTCAGGGACGAGATTTATTCAGGAGCTCAAGTACTGGTTTAATGTAAATTCCTTGTTTGAATTTACAAGGCTTATGGAACCTTAATGAAAAGTCTTCTGAATTTTGGACTTTTGCTCCATAGCAGAATATTTTGTTGATAAAGAAAAGCATATAGCCTAGGCAGTTTGGCTCAGTGGATAGAGCATTGGCCTTCGGACTGAAGGGTTCTGGTTTCGATTCTGGTCAAGGACACACACAGGTTGCGGGCTTGATCCCCAGTGGGGGCCTGCAGGAGGCAGCCCATCAATGATTCTCATCATTGATGTTTCTATCTGTCCCTCTCCCTTCCCCTCTGAAATCAATGAAAATATAAGGGGGGGGGGGAAGCATATAAACAGGTGGCATTAAAGGAATACACTCCTGGCTGGGTGGTTCAGTTGGTTGAAGTATCTTGTCTTACACCCAAAGGTTTTGGGCTCAATCCCTGGTCGGGGCACATACGGATGCTTCACATTGATGTTTCTGACTAAAATCAATAAAAAACATCCTTGGGTGAAGTTTAAAACAAAATAAATACAGTTTGCTTATGTTCTGGCCCTGCCTTTCCCCCCCTTTTATTTTGAATGGCTGCACCATTGTCCTTATATGACCTTACCACTGGCTGTAGTGGAGGAAGAACCGGCATATAGAAGGTGCTTGATATTTTGTTGAAGCACAATCTTCAGTGGAGTGTTTTTAAATATGTAAAACTTGGTAATTAATGCTTTGAATTAGTGATTCCTTTTGAAATCGCTAATTAAAATAAAAAGTCATGAGGAATTTCACCTACCTGATGAAGGATTGCTTGTAATCTTCAAGACGGGCAAGGGCTAGTCTGTAGTGGTATGTGTCTATAGAGTTTTAAAGAAGAGTATTATGACCTTCATGTTACAGATAGTTTAAAGTCAGATTCAGCAAACCCTTGTTAAGAGAATAGAGGTGTTACATAAGTATTTGATCAGCACTTGGAATATTTTTAGTTCTAAGAATGTGGTTTAATTTTAAATAGATCCCTGGCTTCTAGAACTCAGTGAATTGGAGTGTCATCCTATTGCAGGTTCCATTCCCAGTCTAGGGGCCTGTGGGAGGCAGCCTTGTAAGATGTTTTTCTCTCTCCCCCTTCCCTCCCTCTCCCTTTTTCTCCCTTCCTCTCTAAAAAAAAACAACCCCAAAAGTCAATATAAACATACCCTCAGGTGAGGATTTAAACTAGGGGTGTCGAACTCAATCAGAGAAGGGGCCAAAATCTAAAATCCAGCCTAAATCGCGGGCCGAATGGTTTACTGAACAGTCATAAACTGTCATTGTGATGGAAACGCAGCGGAGTGCAGTGATGACAGCACGTTGCGGGCCACATTGCAAGGCCTGGTGGGACGGATTTGGCCCGCGGGCCTTGTGTTTGACACATGTGATTTAAACTATATTCATTGAAGTATGGTTTTTGTGTAACAATTATAGTTTTAGCATCATATTGAGTGGCTTCTTGTAAGATGCTTTCTAGAAAGCTATCAAGTTAATATATTTATACCATACCTCCAAAGATACTGTAGTTTTCTTTTTTAAAAAAATATATTTTATTGATTTTTTACAGAGAGGAGGAGAGAGTGATAGAGAACTAGAAACGTCGATGAGAGAGAAACATCGACCAGCTGCCTCTTGCACACCCCCCACCAGGGATGTGCCTGCAACCAATGTACATGCCCTTGACTTGAATCGAACCCGGGACCTTTCAGTCCGCAGACCGATGCTCTACCATTGAGCCAAACCGGTTTTGGCAAGATACTGAATTTTTCTATCTTGTCTTCATTTGGCTGCAGTTCTCAACAGCTTTGATGCTTTGCTCCTTCTCCCCCTTTCCCACTCCTGTTTCAGGATCTCTGGAACATGCATTGAGGAATATTGCTGTGGGCATCAGTTAACTCAAGTTTCCTTTTAGTATCTTATTTAAATGCACAGTTTAACTCTAGGTCTGATCTATTCAGGGTTGGATTAGCTACGATCTCAAAAGCAGTACAGCTTTTTTTTAAAGAAGAACTTTTATTTTTCCAAAGAAAATTAGACATAATTGAAAGAAAGTAAAAGTCATCCCAAGTCTTTTTACTCATAGAAACATTGGTAGCAAATGTATTCATGTCTCATTTAATACATTTGTGGCTAAATATGCACATAGTTTTATTATTGTTTGCAGTAAGATGCTTTTAACTTCTCTTGTACAGGGTTTGTCAATGAGGCAGATCAGATTCCGATTTGACGGGCAGCCAATCAATGAAACAGACACACCTGCACAGGTAAAAATCTCTGTGTTAACTAGAAAAAAAGTCAATTTTTTTTGTAATTTGCTTAACAGCTTTGTTTATTTGTTAACTTTTAGATGTTGAAATATAGTTCTATATCACAATTCAAAGCTATGTAAAAGATGATCAAGGGGGAATAGAAAGAAAAAAAAAACAGGAATAGATTGAGGAAATGCCACTGGTTTTAAAATATCTGGTTATCACTCAGTAAAACAAATATGTCATTTAGTTTTACTTTAACCCATTTTTTTTAATTGTCCTTTTTTTCAGAATGTTTATTGATTTCAGAGAGTAAGATAGATGGGGAGAAAGATGGAAACATCAATAATGAGAGAGAATCGTTGAATCACTGCCTCCTGCTCACCCCACTCTGGGGATCAAGCTGGCAACCAGGACATGAGCCCTGACTGGGAATCAAACTGTGACCTCCTGGTTCATAGGTTGACCCTCAACCACTGAGCCATACCTGTGGGACAATTGCAAGTTTGTTTTTATTTAATATAATTTATTGATTTTTTTTTACAGAGAGGAAGAGAGAGGGATATAGAGTTAGAAACATCAATGAGAGAGAATCATCTATCAGCTGCCCACACCCCTTACTGGGATGTGCCCGCAATAAGGTACATGCCCTTGACAGGAATCGAACCTGGGACCTTTCAATCCGCAGGCTAAAGCTCTATCCACTTCGCCAAACCGGTTTCGGCTGCAAGTTTTTTGAGAGTGGGGGCTGTGACAGTAAGTGGCTTGCCAGAACTCACTACAAAATCTGATGCAGCCCTGGCCCACGTCGCTCAGTGATCAGAGTGTTGGTTCGGTGAAGGGCTTGCACCTTGGATGCAGGTTCCATCTGGATCCTGGCCCTGTGTGGGATGCAACCAATAGATGGAACAGCTGTATGTTTCTCTCTCTCTTTCCCCGCCCCCTCCTTCCTCTCCCTCACTCTCTTCTTTTCACCCCAGCTGCTCCCTCCCTCTCCCCCACCTCCTTCCATTCTCTAAGAATCAATGGAAAAAAATATCCTCAGGTGGGGATTAACAACAAAAAAAGGTGATGCTGTCTGATCCCTTTATCTTTACCTATCTTGGTCGGTCATATTGTAAGCTTTTGTTTCTTTTTACCTTTTCAAGTTCCAGTTAAGAATTTCACTTTGGAAATTTAAATTAGAGTCTGAGTATTTTTGAAAAATTTTTTTATCACGCCATAAAAACCACAAATGGTATGTGTGGCCCTAACCCGATTGGCTCAGCAGATTGTGCCTGCAGACTGAAGGGTCCATGTTCAATTCTGGTCAAGGGCATTTACCTTGGTTGCAGGCACATCCCCAGTAAGGGATGTGCAGGAGGCAGCTGATTGATGTTTCTAACTATCCCTCTTCCTTCTCTAAAAAAAATAAATAAAATATATCAAAAAATATGGTAAGAGTGAAGCAGCACATCAAGATTGTGGCTTCCTTGATAATCTTAAAAACACAAATATCTATGAATTATACTTGAGGGAAAATTTGAAGAAATTCTGTTGGTGAGTCTCTAAGAAGCAATTAGAGTCCATAACCACAAGGTGGAGCTGCATTCTATTTTTAAATACACATTTTTTATTGATTTCAGAGAGGAAACGAGAGAAACATCAATGATGAGAGAGAATCAATCAGCTGCCTCCTGCACACCCTCTACTGACGATTGCGCCTAAAACATGGGCCTGTGCCCTTGACCGAAATCCAACCCCTAGGACCCTTCAGTCCATAGGCTGATGTTCTAACCACTGAACTAAATCGGCTAGGGTGAGCTGAATTCTCTTGATGAAAGAGAAAAAGCTCTTTTACCTTTTAAAAGCATTTAAAGTTTCACTATAAAATTTAAAATGCCAATAGTTTCAGTAGATAGGCTGAAGATCTGTTTGGATGTGTGTGTTTTTTTGATTTTGTGGTTTTGTTTGTTTTTGCATCCCCGGTAGGCCTGAATTGGTGGTTTTAAAAGAATAAAAAGAATTCATTAAGCTAAAGTCTGATGATTAGAATGTATTTTCTGTTTTGTGAAGCCCTCAGCCCCCACCAGAAAACAGTTCTAAGGCTAGTCTACTATGCTAACTGTAAATACTAAACTGTGAGGGGGATTTGTTCAGGCCTGCATTACAAAATCTTCCAATGAATTTAGAATTGAATTCATTTTAGAATGAAATTGACTTGTTTTAGAATTGTTTTTCCAATATGAAATAGAAGAACTGTAAATCAGAAAGCCTCATCAGCCAGTTTTAATAGCAGTATAATTATGGTGCCCATCATTCTGTTAAATAATTTCTTCAACTCATTTAATTCTCATAACTGAATGCTGTGCCTTTTTACAAAGGGAATTGAGACTCAGTTATTAATATTTTAATGCCTTAGCTCTCCTTTGAGTATATTTGAACTTGGTTAGAAACAGCTCCCTTTGTTAGGTGCTCAAGATTATTTTATTTGCAAAATTACCAGTTTTTAAGGGTAATTGTCAGCATAATAAACTGTTACAAAGGTTATTTACTTTACAGCAGGGGTGGGGAACTACAGCTGGAGAAATCATTCGGTCTGGCCCTGCCAAGGTATTAGGGGTGAGTTAATTAAATGTTTGACCAAACATAGCAGGCTAATGTTTCTAAGTTGATAATTTTGTATGGCCTGAGAATGATGTTATAAATATTTAAGTGGCCCTTGGCAGAAAAATGATTCCCCACTCCTGCAGTTTACAGGTTCTGGTACCTTCCTATTATCAACATGGTTGTTTTGTGTATAATATATGGGTAGTGAAACTTGCAAACTTAATTTGTGAATAGCATTTTAAAGTTGAAATTAACTTAAACACAACACAAGTTTCTTCTTGCCCGTTCCTTTTCCTTACTGCATAGAGGCAACCACTGTTTTATACATAGGGAAAGATATGCTCATGTACACACACACACACACACACACACACACACTCTCTCTCTCTCTCTCTCTCTCTCTCTCTCTCTCTCTCTCTCTCTCTCTCACTCTCACTCACTCACACATACTTTTAAAAACACAAATGTTGCCAAAACAGGTTTGGCTCAGTGGATAGAGCATTGGCCTGCGGACTGAAGGGTCCCAGGTTCGATTCCGGTCACCGGCAAGTACCTTAGTTGTGGGCTCATCTCCAGTGGGGGGCGTGCAGGAGGCAGCTGATCGATGTTTCTCTCTCATCGATGTTTCTAGCTCTCTCCCTTCCTCTCTAAAAAAAAAAAAAAAAATCAAAATTTTTTTAAAAAACACAAATGTTGCCTAGTTTATAAATGTTTTTAGTATTCTAGGGATATTTCTACTTCACATGTAAATCTGCTTATTCTTTAATAACAGTTATGTGATAGTTCATTATGAATGTATAGTATTTCTTTGGGTTTCTAGTGATACTTAGGTTATTTCCATTCTTTTTTTTTTTTTAATATATTTTATTGATTTTATACAGAGAGGAAGGGAGAGAGATAGTTAGAAACATCGATGAGAGTCATCAATCAGCTGCCTCTTGAACACCCCCTACTGGGGATGTGCCCGCAACCAAGGAACATGCCCTTGACTGTAATCGAACCGGGGACCCAACTGGTCCTGGCAGGTTATTTCCATTCTTGCTCATCTAAACAACATAGTGAGATCCTTTACACGCATCACTCTTATTTTCAGTACTCAAAGGAGATGATTTAACTCATAGACATGTTCAGTTTTTAACTTAAAAGCTAAGTTCTCTATAATCTTCATTAAAAAAGGATACCAGCCCTAACTGGTTTGGCTCAGGTTCGATTCCGGTCAAGGGCATGTACCTTGATTGCCTGCACATCCCCCGTGGGGAGTGTGCAGGAGGCAGCTGATCGATGTCTCTCTCATTGATGTTACTAACTCTCTATCCCTCTCCCTTCCTCTCTGTAAAATATCAATAAAAATACATTTTAAAAAATAAAAATAAAAAAAGGATACCAATTGAAAAATTACTTAAAGCTGAGATGCTAACTAAGTTAGTGTCTGGGATGTCTAAAATAACCAAAACTAGAATTGGGTGACACTTGTGCAGTTTTTCAGGATATTTAGGTCTGATAGTTATAAATTTTAAGAGCTGAATTATCAGTGGCTTTTTTTCCTTTATGCCAGTTGGAAATGGAGGATGAAGATACAATTGATGTGTTCCAGCAGCAGACAGGAGGTGTCTACTAAAAAGGGAACCTGCTACTTTACTCCAGAACTCTGTTCCTCCAGACCAAGAAGACATTCTCAATTAGAAAACTGCAATTTGGTTTCAACACATCTGACTACTACAGTATAGTTTTCTCTATTCTTTCATTTCCCCTTCCCCATTCCTTTATTGTACATAAAGTAACTGGTGTATGTGCACAAGCATTTGCATTTTTTTTTTTTAACTAAATGGCCAATGGTGTGTTTTGATCTACATCAAATGGAGACGGGACGGGGAAAAATACTGGTTCTGTGAAAACACCCCCTTTCTCCATTAGTGGCATGCTCATTCAGCTCTATCTTTATATTCCAGTAAGTTATTTTGCTCTCACTGTTTAACAAAAAAAGAACAACATAAAAATTCTTGCATACCTTGTTTGATTGGAGAATTTTAATGTTTTTCATTTATCATTGTAAAACCAAGGACAATTTTATAACTTTTTTGTACGTAGCTGTTACATGTAGGGCAATCTGTCTTTAAGTAGGGATAAATTACTCTAAAAAATGAATCCTAGATAGTTTTCCCTTCGAGTCAAGTGTCTTGTTGTTTAAATAAACTTCTTGTTTAAAATGAGCTGTTCTCTTTATTCTGAGGATATTAAATAAGAAAATTGAAGTTTAGGAAAAAAACATGAGATCAATAGGCCTGTTAGAAGTAACATTTAAAGGAAGAAATAGAAATTTTTATTTCTGACAGACTAATGCAAAACAGAGTAACAAAGTCATAAAAGTGACTATAAACGGATGTTCCAGCCTCCTCTTTGTTCAAAAAGCTTAGGTCCAAATATGCAACTTTAATAGCAAAAAAAAAAAAAAAAAGGTCATACTGTGTGGATTTACTCTCAAGCATTCTTTTCTGTAAACCATTTCCTGAGGTCTTAGTAAATGCAGCTAGAAAAAAGGTCCTGCTTTAGCTAACTGCTGATACGTCACTTCTCTAGCTTTCACTTTTATGAGTATGCCCTAATCTAAAATAGAATCTAGTCTGTTTCTTATTTAAGGATGTTGAAGGACAGAAAATGTTTATCTACATATATTTCTCTTAGCATTAAATATACAGGTCATTACTGTCTTCAAATGTATGGGGAAAGATCATTTGAGCAGGAAAGATAAAGAAGATGATCTAATTCTTAACTCCTGTTTTAGAGGTGAGAAAACTGATCCAGAGTTGTCACAGCTATATGGTTATAAAACTGGGACTAGAGATGTTTCCTACTGCCTGTTAATCCCAATTGAATTCTCCAAACTGGTTCTCAAACAATTCCCACCCCTGCTAACCTACCGATGTGGTCTTATTGGATCAATTCCCCATATGCTATAATCCACGTCATTCACTTAATTCACTGTACCTCTTTCAGCATGATCTCTTTTCATTCCCCATGTCCACAGTGAATGAGCTTCCCCAGAATCAGGAATTCTCTAGATTTTTGGCTCTATTATGTATATGTTAATCATATATATATATATATATATATATATATATATATATATATATAAAATTTATTGATTTCAGAGAGGAAAGGAGAGGGAGAGATAGAAACATCAATGATGAGAGAATCATCACTGATTGGCTGCCTCCTTCATGCCCCACACTGGGAGTCAAGCCTACAACCTGGGCATGTGCCCTTGACTGGAATTGAACCTGGGACCTTTCAGTCCGCAGGCTGACTCGACACTCAATCCACTGAGCCAAACCAGCTAGGGCAATATATGCGTTGATCTTGAATCAACTTTTATTTTGCTACCAACCCATTTTTATAGCTTACACTGTGAGACTGTGGGAATCCTGCCCCCAAGAATTCCTAGAAAGGATCAGTTAAGCACATTTCTCTTGACTTACTGATCTAGGTACTATTAAATGGAGTTTTGTGGTGTTCTAAAAACTAAAGTTAAATTGAAATTGATTAAATCAGAGAACTTTAATGTGGAAGGGGGCTTGAGTTGGGTTTTCTTCAGTTAGAGGAATTAATACTAGGAGTTTTTGTCTTGTTGGGAGAAGATAGACTTTAAATTCCTTCATAGTAGAAAAACTTGGTACAATTAAAAGAGCCAGAAATGTGTGAAAAGGGCACTGTTCAATAATAGAGTATGTTGTAGCTTATTGATATTTGGGTCAGTGTATATACCTTATTTGTGTTCTTAAAATGGACTTCTTGATTGTTGCTTTTGACCATTTCACATAAGTTGCTACCAAAACAAATATTTTGTGGAAAAAATTTTGTGGAGTACTTTTTAAAAGTCACTTTGAAAAGTGGAATTGTTTGAGTTGAAAATACTGAAAGTAATTTTTTTCTTTTCTTTTGGCTTGGGAGGGGACATTCAAGTGATGGGAGTTATGCTCCCATTTTGGTTAACTTATAATTTAGCTAAACTCTGGCTGGCTTCATATTTAGTGAGATTGAATGGAAGATGGGAAGGAATAGTTGGAGGAGAAATGGGAGATGGGTAAAGTGTGCAATTACATTGGGAATTGTGACAGCAGCAGGTCAGTGGACAGTGGAATCTCAGGATTTGAGGGAGTTTTTCCAAGATCTTTGTGGGGTGTGTGTGTGTGTGTGTGTGTTGCTGGGGGTGATGGGGGTTTGGGGGTGGTGGTGTATAGTATATTGGAGAGGACTACCTGCTGCTGAGGGTTATTTTTGAGCTGCTTTTATTTAATTTATTTATTTTAAATATATTTTATTGATTTTTGTACAGAGAGAAAGGGAGAGAGATAGAGAGTTAGAAACATCGATGAGAGAGTCACAGATCAGCTGCCTCTTGCACCCCCCCCACTGGGGTTATGCCTGCAACCAAGGTACATGCCCTTGACCGGAATTGAACCCGGGACCCTTCAGTCCCCAAGCCGACGCTCTATCCATTGAGCCAAACTGGTCCCGGCTGCTGCTGCTTTTAAATATGACTAACAGTGATTCTGCATCCTGGTTTTTCATTAGAACGAGTGGGTGAGCTTTTATTTTTTATTTTTAAAATTTGTTAAATTTAAATTTTTTTTTTAAATTAAATTATTATCTGTGTACATATCTTACCATTGCCCCCCCCCCCCCAGACTGGGTGAGCTTTAAAATTATATTTTTAAAATTTGTTAAATTAAAAATTTTATTTTAAATTATTATCTGTGTACATATCTTACCATTGCCCCCCCAGAAATGTATTTCCAAAGCATGTGGAATTGAGAAGCCATTCTGGGAGGCATCCTTACAACTCCTGAGTTAATCACCTTATGATGAAGATTAAGTTAGATACGTTTTAGCTAGAAAATGCATCCCACATACTGAACTCTCAAGTTATTATTCAGCTCTGGCTGGGTGGCTCAGTTGCTTGGAGCTTCATTCCATAAACCAAAAGGTTGCAGATTCAATTCCCAGTCACGGCTACCTAGATTTCGGGTTCAATTCGGGTTGGGGCTGGAGACAACTAACTGATGTTTCTCTGGCATTGATGTTTCCCTTCCTCTCTAAAAATCAATAAAAATATATCCTTGGGCAAGGATTAAAATAAGTTGTTATATCCAGTGTGAAGTAAGGCTCTATCACAGAATGCTGAGGCTTCACCTGAATACCTAAATCTATCAGATGGCCTGCACTTACTGTAAATGAGAAATCAGAGTCCTGGCCAAGAACTTTCTATTTATTAAAAAAAACACACCACTGAATATGATCTTTGTCTCTTGTCTCATTAGGTTTTTTAATAAATGCTTAATACTAAATAGTGCCCTAGTGAGTCTTGAAGGAAAAATATTCCTCAGGATAATTTTTTAATCCTCACCTGAGGACATACTGACTTTAGAAAGGGAGGAAGAGAGAGAGAATCAGTGATCAGCTGCCTCCTGCACGCTCCTCACTGGGGGTGGAGCCCGAAACCTGGGCATGTGCCCTCCCCTGAGAAACTGACCTCCTGGTTCATAGGTTAACACTCAACCACTGAGCCACACCTGCTGGGCTTTTAGCTATTTTTGCTAAGGAGGTGAATTCATTTTAGGAGAGCGGGACAGATGGGTCAGGGACATTTTCGTTTGTTTTATTAAATAGAGAAATAACATGGAATTGAGTATAGAGGACAAACTTAAACTACATGGTTGTGTTTTACTCAGCTCTTAGTCTGAAAAGAGGAAGAAGTCGGGAAATATGAATTATGTTTTCCCTCTATAATTCAGTGATTAAAAAGGACCTGAGGGGTGTATGTCAGACCTTAGTAGAGTATATGTACCATTTCGTTTACCTTTGAGTAAAGAGAAGGCAAGTACATGACAGCCATTTTCCATTATTTGAGACCTCTTCACGCATTTGTGTAATGACAAATGAGTTTTAAGAGAACTTAGGCTGTGTCGGTGGGCTGCCACCCTCCCTTTTTTGGTGAGGATATGGCTAAGAAAAGAATGGACAGATGCATACTAAATTTGGCTTTAAGAGTGATGGATGCAGAACTTATGTGTAAATATGTGTGGTTTAAGTCATACGTAAGTGATACGCTTATGAAATATACTGCAATGTTGAGGCTGAGAAATAAAGCTTGTTAGAAATACTCGTCAGTGGGCCATTAATTCAGTCACTAAACTAAATTCAAAAGCACGTGACCAGGATTTGTTTTTAAATAGTGAAACAGAAGGGTAGAAAATAGTAAAGAGTATATATTAAACTGTGGTTGAACTTGAGCAGTTGCTATTCTTGTAGGTCTAAAATAGTCAAATATCTGTGGTTTCACATGGTTCAACCCAATACGTGTGTATCGATGTCAGTGAAATGCACTGATCAGAGAGCTTGGTTAAAACCCAGTTTCAGAATCTAGGGAGAGTTATTGCCCCCTCCCTCTGGCATTGTGGAATAAATCGGGGCAGGTTGGACTGCCGGGGGATTCATTGCAATGGTAGTGGGAAAGCTGATAACATTCAAGGTAAAAACGTGTGCTTGAGAGTTGCTGTGTTAGTGCATGTTTTTGTTTTTAGTCATGACCTTAGCTACAGTGGTGAGGCACAAGTGGTGAGAAATAACTTGCATGTTATTTTGAGTAGGTTGTGCATTGCATTCTTGAATAAAGCTCTCCAGGTACCCAGTAGCAAAATTAAAAACCAATGGCATTCCTGTCCATATTAAAAGAAAATTATTAGGGCTTCAAACACTTTTCTGACGTGTTTTAAATACTAGATTTCTTGCCACCTGATTCAGAACAATAGATTGTGTTTGAGGAGAACGTTGGGTTACTCAAACCTGTTGGGTAAGCTGATTTACTAACCTTTCTGAACTGAATTACAAATGGATGACTAGAACTTTGAATATAGTAAGGGAGTGGCAGCATGGGACTAAGGCAAATTTAAGAGTACTTAACTGTTAAAAGACATGAAGTTATAAAGCGTGTGGACAAATGTTCGTTCTTTGCCCTTTACTGTATTTTAAAAGTAGACATGCACATCTAGGGCAGTGGTTTTATTTACTTATTTATGGCAGTGATTTTAAAATTGGGACCCTGGCGTTGTACAAAAAGGTAGGTAGACTGCCAAACAGGCCTGCCTAAAATGGCCCTAATCTGATGTCTGTTTTACTAAATTTACTCTTCTTAATAAATCAGAGGAGATTAAAAGGATTCATGTTTTATCCTTGAAGCAGAGGTTCTTAGCCCAAGCTATAGGTGAGAATTACCTGTTTAACTTCTCAAAGATATCCATGACTGAATCTGACACCCAGAAATTTCAGGTTAGTTGGTGTTGGATGGGGCCTGGCATTCATTTGTATTTCTTAAAAGCTCATAGGTTATTCTGATGTGTAGCCAGTGTGAGGCACCTCTGAGAGAAAGCTTTCGTTGACTAAGGACAAAATTCTTAAAATTCTTAACCCCATTCTATAGATGAAACTGGGTCTGAGAGTACTTGGAAGACGGAGCAGACCCAGAACCTAGGCTTTTTGATTTCTAGCCCAGTGCTGGGTTACCACAGCAACCTGTCTTCTACTGGACTACAGGGGATGGAGGAAGGAAGGCAAGTACAAGTTCAAAAATGTAGGTTAAGAGGGACCCTAAAGAGTCAGGTACAAACCTCTCATTTCACACAAAACACTTCAGATCGTTAGAAAGTATGTGATTATTTTCCAAGTAAGTCAATAAAAATGGCTGTCACTTTGATGACTTCTTATATGTCAGGCCAAGCAGTTTACACCATTACTTAATTCAGTCCTCAGCTCTGTGGAATCCAGATACTATTTAATCCTTATTTTATGAATGAGGAAATGTGCTCAGAAAAGTTGAGATTAAAACCCAGATTTCTCCCCGTGAGAGCCTGAGCCAGCAACCACCATACTCTAACTTCTAGTCTGTACTTACGTGATTCTTATTTTGTTAGAGAGAGAGAGAAAGAGGGAGAGAGAGAAACATTGATGTGAGAAACATCCATCTATCATCTGCCTCCTGCCCTGGGATGTAACCTGTAACCACTCCAACCAATTGAACCACACCAGCCAGGGCAGTAATTACATGACTTTTGAGGAGGGCTTGCATGCTCACTGGCTAGATGGATCTGAAGGTGTTTTTTTTTTTTTAATTTTTATTTTTTAGCTGCTGCTGTTATTATTATTATTAAAGTTTTAGAAGTTTAGATCCAGCCTTTAAGAATGGAAAGATTTTAAACCAAACAAGTGGTGTGCTTCAAGTTTTTATGGTAAGCATATAAATCCATGCCTACTAGAAAAGAACTTACCTCTGGCTTTTTTTGAAAGCCCAGAAGAGCGGTTAACCAATAGTACAAACTTCTAGCTGACTGGAAGGAGGAGGTTATGGAAAGAGGAAAGTAGTTCAATGTGATGGAAATACCGACAAAGATCTGCATGCGTTCCTGTTATGTTTTTGTAAGCTGTCATTCCCGAGCCCTCCAAGTGTGTCTGCATTTGTTGCAGGGATAGACTTACCCGGGCAGGTGGGAGAGGCATGACTTAAGGGTATAACAGCTGCAGAGCTCTGGAATAGTCTCCACAGCAAAGGATGTGGCATTCCCAGCCACCAGGCATTAACAGCCTTACAACAGGCCTTCAAATCAGGACGACTGTAATTCTGGGCTAGTGCATGCACCGCCCATGACAGCTAACTATTAACATGAAAATGTAAAGAATTTCCAGCCGTTTTAAAAGGGATCATCTTGGCGTGCTTTCTGTTGCCGACTCCATGTTGCAGTCTTGGGACTGTCAGGTTTCCACAGGAGACACACAGTAGGTACTCAGTCAATGTCACTGTAGAGTAGTATTTCCATCCCTTAAGGAACATGTCCTAACTTGCCCACCACAAGTGTATGGGAACGCAAATCTGACAAATCTGCCCTGCACTGTGGGTTCCAACTGCCCCGGAGCGAGCTTTCCCCTTTGTCAGGTAACTTTTAAGTGACAGCGGGCATGGCTGTGGGAAGCATGGGGCCGGAGTGCCCTTTGTCCAATCATCTCCGAGACTTGCGGGTGGGGGAGGGGGCGGGTCTCCAGACCCTCCCTGACCAGGAAGCGGGCGGGTTTAGGCTGAGCCTGGACCACCACAGCCCATCGTGAGGCAGCACGGTGCTTGGCACTCTGGGGAGCCAATCGGTGCGCATAGAGCTGTTTGAATCGGCCAATGCCGGCAGGGCGGAGGCGGGGCTTACGGGCCGTATAAAAGCGGTCGCCGGCCAAACAGGCGGCGGCGGAGGCTTCTGCAGCGGTCGCAGTTGGCGGGCGGAGCTCCTCTGCGCCCCTCGGCCGGGTCCTTTCCGCTCTCTGGCGCCGCGCCAGCCCGTCTCGCTCCTCGGCGTCATGACGACCACCACCACCTTCAAGGGCGTCGACCCCAACAGCAGGAACAGCTCGAGGTGAGGCGGCGGGGCGGCGGGGCGCGGGGTCAGGAGGGCCGCTCCAGCGGGGCCACGCGGGCCGGGTTGCGGGTCGTTGGCGGTAACGTGCCCGGGGCGCCGCGCTTGCGTCCGGCCAGGCGGCGGGGCTGCGTGGCCAGTCCCGCCTTTGTGTCTCCCCGCGAGCCCCGCACGCTGCCCCGCCCGACTGCCTCTCCTCCCTCCCATTCATTCCTTCCTCCCCGGGAGCGGGGCCGGGGCCGGGGCCGGGCTCGCCCTCTGGGCGCCGCGGGCCGTAAGTTGGGGCAAACCCGGGGGGTTCGCGCGCTCAGCCCGACCCCGGGGCGGTGTCTGAGCCTCCGGGCGCCCGCACAGCTTACGGGGCGTCCGTCCAGGCCCACTGTCTCGCTCCGGGCCACGCGCTCCTGTCACTGGCCCGGGGCAGGTGGCGGCGGGGCGATCGGCGGGGCGGTCCGACTCCGGGCCGCAGCGAGCCGGGCTGGCGGGCTCCCCCCGCGGGGGCCGGCCCGGCGGGTGGCCTTGGTGGTCAGGCGGGGGGGTCATCGCGACCCCCAGCTCCTTCCTCCCCAGGACCCAGCCGCCAGCCGCCCCTGCCAAGTGCCTCCCCTCCGCTAACAAAGGAAAGCCCGCGCCCTCCCTCCCGCGCCCGCCCCGAGCCGGAGAGGGCGTGTGCCGGGCCGAGCGGGGCCCGGTGTCCCAGCCTCCGGACCCGGGCTCGGCCTCCCACCGCTTTGACGTTTGTGAGATGAGTTCATCGCCGGCCCCGTTCCCGGCCGGAGGAGGCTTCCTGTTCTTGGGCGGGGCCGGCGGGAGACGTCTATTGTCTCTTCCGCGCACCGTTCGCACCGGGGAGCCCGGCCCTTGGCCACGGCGTTTGGGGAGGGGGCGCCGGGGTGGCCCCGGGACCCTGTGCCCAGCGGCTGTAACTTGGGGCGGGGTTCGGATCCGGGGACCTGCCCACATTGTCTGGGCTGCGCTCCGAGGTGGGATGCGGGCCGCCCCGGGTCCTGGCTCCAGGCTCGGAGGAAGCTCGGCCTCCACTCTCGCCGGGCGCCTGCCCCTCATCGGTGGCGACCTGCCGTCCTGGGCGGCCAGCCTGGGGGTCCTGGGCCAGTGGCACAAAGGGAGCCATTTTGTGGGGCCGAGGAGACAGCCGGGCCAGAGCGGTGTCCCGGGGCTGGGGGACTTGGGGACAAAAGCAGGCCTCGGCCTGAGTCTTAGGAGGGAGCTCTGGAGATGCCGTTCCTTTGTGATCCGCTCCTTTCCCTCTCGCCGCGTGACACAGCGGGACAGGTTTTTAAAAACTAAATGAGTGGTTCCTGGGAGGATGGGGGGCGTGGGTAGCACACCGGCGAGGGTCACTCCCTCCTCTGTTGGCATCCTTCCAGGGAGATCATTTTTCTCAGCGGATGGACCCTGGAGCAGATTGAACCCTGGGTTTCCCGTTTGTGCCACGGGGTCAACTTTCTGCGGGTCCGACGGTGGTGGTTGGAATGGCCAATGTGCAGAAAGATCGGAGGTTTTACCCTTTGGGGTCGAGTTGGGTTTGGAGCTTTGTTAAGAATCTCGGTAACCTGGTCCATGAGCCCTCACGCTGGCTTTTTGACATGCATACTTGCAGTGTCAGACGGAAATGAGCTTTGGTTGTGCACAGTAGGTGTTTTAATTCGCCTTTTGTCATCAGTTTCCCCCCGGGATTGTGATCCCGGGACCGGAGCATTGTCCTTTTATTTACTTCCTGCCTTTCCTTCTTCCATCCTCTCCGCCAAAGCGCCTAAACTTTCCTCCGGGATCACCCTCCGGCCCCCTAACCGGGCTAGACATTTGGTCTCGTTAGGAAATGGTCTGCAGAGATCCTATGGCAAGCCTAGGATTTTAAGAGAGAAGAAAGGAAAAGTAATGCTTAAAACATTGCTATCTGTACGTGGAGATGTTTTTGTTGAGTCTCAAATATGTAATCCTGATTTAGTTACCATGTGTGTCGCTCAGAAGGAGTAGTAGGGCCTGAAGAAGTAAAATGGATATAATTTCCGTCTTATGATCCAAATCCTTTGTTTGGGGATGTCTGGCTGTTACAAATGAGCCCACAACACTGACGTCATCGGAGTAGGTGCTACCTGCTGTTCCAGCGGGAACGGGGCCCTTTAAAAAGTTGAAATGGTCAGAGCTTTGACTTTTTTTTTTTTTTAACCTGGTGTTTGGGTACTAGTGTCTTTTTTTTTTTTTTTTTTAAGGCCAAAAAAATATTTCCCAGCCCATTAGGGTTCTGAAGATTTTCATCTGGCTAATAATTCATAAGGATTTAATTACGATGGCAAGGAAAAAAAATTCACTCCTCTCTAGGACAATGAAGCAAGTTAGCTTTTGGGGTACAAATGTTGAAAACCTAGTCACTTCAAACTTTAACATGAGAGAAAAGCTTATTAAGAATTTATACCTTTAATTATTTCCAAACTAAAATGATCATCTTTATAAAATGTATGCCTGAACACACATAATTTAAGTGGATATTTTTTTAAAAACCCACAAACCAGTGAGGTTTTAAGTGTTTGACATGTTAATGAGATCTCTCACCCCACCCACCCCAAGGGAAAGGCAGTGGCACTAGAGGCTCCGTGTACAAAATTCGTGCATGGGTGGGGCCCTAGGCCTGGCCAGCCATCAGGCTCCCCGCCTCCTCCTTCCTTCGAGCCCTCAGCGTCCGCCACTGCTCCTGGTCGCCTGCCATGTTCTGCCCCGCCCCCTAGTGGTCAGCACATGTCATAGTGAGCGATCCAACTCCCTGTCTCCTGGTCGAACTCCCCAGGGGTCAATTTGCATATTAGCCTTTTATTGTATAGGCTTTTTATTTCGTGTAAATTGAGTACTGAATTTTACTATGGACAGACACAAATAATAGATTCAGGGTAGGACACTGGAGGACCTACATAAGAATTATAAGACAGTTTAAGATTAGGAAGCAAGAAAACTAATCAGAGTTCCAACCGTGTGGGGGTGTGGTGTAGAGAAAAATGGCCTTTTGTGGTTCCCTGTATCAATGGCAGGAGCTGGGGATCAGGGTTTTGGTCCCGTCCGTGTCAGTTAACTAATGTGGGCAATTTATTTGGAACTTCTCAGGGCCTGACTTGGCTCCTTTAAAAATGAGGCTGGATCCGGCTGGTAGTTCACTTGGTGGGAGTGTGGTCCCGATACAATATGCCAACGTGACAGTTTTGATTCCTGACCAGGGCACACACAAAAAAGAGGCTGTTGAACTGGATTGAAAAAAGATATACTTTTCTTTTTTTAATGTATTTTAGTGATTTTTTACAGAGAGGAAAGGCGAGGGATAGAGTGCTAGAAACATCGATGAGAGAGAATCATCGACCAGCTGCCTCCTGCACACCCCCCACCGGGGATGTGCCCACAACCAATGTACATGCCCTTGACTGGAATCGAACCTGGGACCTTTCAGTCCGCAGACTGACGCTCTATCCACCGAGCCAAACCGGTTTCGGCAAAGATATATTTTTGATTCATTCGTACCGGATGGCTATTGTTGTGTTGGTTGTTATTTTTGTTTGGCAGTCTGAGGGAGAAGAGGTCAGGGCCTGACTGAATGCTCGGGTATTGGTTATTTTAAAAATTCTTGCTGGGACACCAGCTGCAAATCGCTGATAGAGCAGAGCCCAGCAAATTACCACCTGAGGGCCAAATCCAGCTGGCCTCGGATCTTGACATTTATAAGTAGTTGGGGGGGGAAAAGAAAAAAAGCAAGAAGAATAGTTGATGACTTGTGAAAATGACATGAAAATCGAGTTTCCGTGTCCGTAAGTGAAGGCTTATTGGCGCGCAGCCACACTCATTCATTCTCACGTTGTCCGCGCTGCTCTGTGCCATGCGACAAAGGCCTGTAGCTGTGCCAGACTGCCCGACCCGCCAGCCAAAACTCGCTCCTGTCTGGCCCTTTCACACACAGGATCTCCGGTGTTTTTACTCAGGTTCCACCTGTTACTCTTTGAGAGCCCAGAGGAGGTGAAGGTTTAAGAGTCACTGAGGGGGCCTGGCCAGTGTTGCTCAGTGGTTAGCACAGGCCCAGGAACCCAGAGGTCATGGTTCCATTCCAGTCAGGACACAGGCCTGGGTTGGGGGCTCGATCCCCAATTGGGGGCCTACAGGAGGCAGCCATAGAGGTTTCTGTCTCTATCCCTCTCCCTTCCTCTCTCTCTAAAAATAAAAATAAAATAAAAGTCACTGAGGGAAGGGTGGAGAGGCCTCTAAGTAGGAGAAAGTATGAGATGGAGATAAGCCGAACTGTGGGGAGCAGTGAGGAAAGTGGCCTGACTGGCTTGGTGAAGAGGCGGTGCTGAGAGGAGTTGGTGAGGTTTGTCTGGTTTCCTTCAGTTCTGCCTCGGCCTACCCAGACCTTGTCTCTGGCTTGTGGGCAGCAGGACTAAGCACGGGGAGCCTGGGGGGGAAGGACACAGAACAGGGCAGGAGATCATGCCCCCTGGGCAGGAAGGGGCAGTGTAAGGAGCTGAGGCCAGGGTGTCCCCTACAGCCAAGGGGGCAGGAGCCCGCCCGGCTCTGGGCTAATGGCTGAGGGGCAGCTCCTGCGGTGAGTGTCTGCCCCCTGGTGGTCAGTGCATGTCATAGCGACCCATAGTTCCTCCGGTTGATTTGCATATTAGTCTTTTATTATATAGGATATTATATAGGATGTAATTGGGTTTATATTTGTTCTCTAACCTTTTTATTCCCTGGGTTGTGGGTAACTTTTTGTATCCACTGTAATGTGTATGGCTTTCTGTTGGATGGACAGACTTTGCTATCTAGCTGCCTACTATTGGATAGTCATTGTTGGACAAAAACCTGCAGGTGGTGCCCGCAGGTGCGTGTGCACAGAACATGCCTGGATCTTACACGTATGCCTCTTATTGACTCCCTGTGGCTAGTCATGTGTGTTCACCAGTGACAGCAGTGAGGTCCAAGGATATAAACGGCGCTCATCTGTGATGTTGAGACAGGAGAGACGCTTCATTATTACCTTTGCTTCGCCTTCTCAACCGGTCTGGAATATGTCTATTCTTATGATATGTATATTCTTCCATTTTCTATTTTGTTGAAAATGAAAATGGAAAAAATAAGTAACAAGACGTGCTTCTAAACTTTGCACATATAGGGTAGGGCAAAAGTAGGTTTATGGTTTGAATGGAAAATAATACAAGAATTAATAAATAATAATACAGTATAAGAATAAGCTGTTTGGCATACCCACTTCTGCCGCACCCTGTACATCCAGCTAAGCCCGGAGGCAGTCCCTTAGGTCCCTGCCCTTTGCCCCTAAAAGGAGCCGTAGCCAGGCTATTGTTTGTGATGACTTCCGGGCTGTTGTGTGATGGACAGCCTTCCCACAGGTGTTATAACGCTGCCCTTTTGTTCTTAACACCAGTGTGGAATTTATACCCCAGGGAATCAGTTCCTGGGCCCCTTAGCAACTTTCTTTTGTGGGAGGGAAAGGGAATGACTGGACAAGGGGGAAAGGTGCCTGACCACTTTTTGCCAAGAAATGCGATGGTGCGGCTTGACGTGACATTTCTGCTTTTCCATCTTTCCTAGGGTTTTGCGGCCTCCAGGTGGCGGGTCCAACTTCTCATTAGGCTTTGACGAGCCCACGGAGCAGCCCCTGAGGAAGAACAAAATGGCCTCCAGCATCTTTGGGACCCCCGAGGAGAACCCCCCTTCGTGGGCCAAGGCGGCAGGTGTGGCTTCGGGCCCGTGGCCGGTCAGGGGAGGGCCCAGCGTGAGAGCACAGCTGGAGCCAGGTCTGGCTTATACCTTACAGGATACACAGCCCCTGGAGCTCCTCACCGGGGGAAAGACTAGGATAAGGTGACCAGTCGTCCGGATTTTTAAAAAAATATATATTTTATTGATTTTTTATAGAGATGGGACTCCGCTCTATCCACTGAGCCAAACCGGTTTTGGCAGACAACCCGATTTTTAGCAATTTGTCCTGCGGTGTTTGGGACGCGGGACAAATGGTTAGAAATCAGGACGTCTGGTCACCTTAGACTAGGGCCCAGCCTCACGCTCACTAAGAGGGGCCTTAGGCCTTCCGGTTCCGCTCCTCAGGAAAGTGTCTTTGGTTCAGGGGCCAAGCCCAGCGGTGGCAGAGAAGACCCGGAGCCGGCCGGGCCCCGGAGGAGGAGCTCCGTGGAAGCCAGCGCGGGAGACTGCCTGGACCTGAAGGTCAGTGTGAGCGGGGCGAGGCCAGGCTTGGGGGACGTTTCTGTTTAGTTTCTGTTAGTTCCCCAGGGAGGCTGTTGGGAGAGGGACGGGCGGGGTTGGTGATGGATGATGGACAGCTAAGGAGGGAAGTCAGAAGGTGAACAAGCGTGACCTTGCTGTTCGGGGGGGGGTCTCTTCGGCCGTCAGGATTGGTCTCCCCTCCGTGTGGTTTTCAGGACTGTGGATCACCCCACACTCACTTCCTGGGTGTCTCAGATAGGCGCTATCTCCGCGTTCAAGGGCTGTTTAAATTGTTGGCAAACGTTAGCCGTCCAGTTGTGAGCTCCGCCACAGAGCCCCAGCCGAGCGTCTGGGAGGGTGTCCCCCCTCCCCCCGTAGGGATTTCAGAGCACACGGAGGCACCAGCCACCCACGTGTGGGAGGCCCGCGAAGGGGCTTTGGAACTGTTAGATGCCTGCCAACCCCTCGGTCAGCAGAAAGGGGGGATGGGAGGACAGACTCACCAGTGTCCCGTCTGATAAAAGAGCCTCTGAAACGCGAATTGAGATAGGACATCGTTGTAGATGTTAAGATTTTTGTAAAAATTATTTTTAATCTATTGGGGTGATATTGGTGAGATGTTAAGTTTTGGGAGTGTTACTGGCCCCGGGGCAATCTGTCCAGCATTGTTCCTGTGGAATAAAGGTTGCTTGTTGTGATGCAGCCTGACCCTGACCTTGACCGAATCAGAATGAAAACAGTTGGTTCGAATTGTGCCTGCTTTGTTTGTATGTTGCAAAATTAAAATCCGGAGTAAAATTTTAATCTCTTTTCTCTTCCAGGGAGAAGGCGACATCCACGGTGAGTACTTCCGAAGCCCACATTCCGGTTCTGTAAATGGTTTTAGAATCGATTGGTGCCCTGGCCGAGTGGCTCAGTTGGTCTCGTGTACTGAGAGGTTGCAGGCTGATTCCCAGTCGGGGCACAGGCCTGGGTTGCGGGTTCCATCCCAGGTTGGGGCATGTACTGGAACGACCGACTGATGTTTCTCTCTCTCCCTTCCTCTCTAAAATCAATGACAGAATGGATTGGAATTTTGATTCAAATCATGTCTTGGGAAAGAGATTGGGACTTGGCCAGCATACTCTGGGTGGAGGGAAGCAAAATGAAACAGGAAAGTCAGCAAACACGGCCGCATCTGGTACGGCCAGCAGTGAGAGCAATGCCAGGCATGTGTGGGAAAGGATTAAAAGACCCAAACCTTTAGAAACATGTCCATTATTCCGGCTGGCATTTGTTACACTTAATGAGAGCTTTTTAGTAAATGGCTCTAGCAGTTCAAACTTGGCCCATGGCATTGAGCTTACAAAGCTTGAATTTTTATATATAAAAAGCACTAAGGTGCTTGTTTTTTAAGACAATGGCAGCCAGGTGATCTTACACATGATGATTTAGGGGCAGGTGTAAGTTTCCATCCCAGTGGAAATGAGCTATTGTCATTTAATTATTTTAATCTGTGAAGTCTTCATTGGCATTTCCTTAACCAGTGCCAGCGCAGTCCTGACAAGTGGGAGGCAGAGGTGACACACACCAGGCAGCGGCGGGTAAAAACGGACTCGCTGGAATGCAGCTCGCAGGCCCTCTGGGCCGGACGTGGCTTCCCAGGACCTCTTCCTCCCCCACGCGCTGTGCTGCAGCTTCCCGGGGACTCAGAAGTGTAAGCCCCCATCCCACTGCTGTCCTCAAACATTGTTTCTTTTCTTCTTTTAAAAAAATATTCCTTGCCGAAGCCGGTTTGGCTCAGTGGTAGAGCATCGGTCTGGGGACTGAAAGGTCCCAGGTTCGATTCCGGTCAAGGGCATGTACATTGGTTTCGGGCACATCTCGGTAGGGGGTATGCAAGAGGCAGCTGGTCGATGTTTCTCTCTCATCGATATTTCTGGCTCTCTATCTCTCTCCCTTCCTCTCTGTAAAAAATCAATAAAATATATTTTTAAAAAAATTCCTATTGCTTTCAGAGAGTAAGGAAGGGAGGGGGGGGAGAGGGAGAGGGAGAGAGAGGGAGTCGTTCGGCTGCCTCCTGCACTCTCCACAGTGGGATTGAGCCCGCAACCCAGGCACGTGCCCCGACTGGGAATTGAACCGTGATCTGGGCCAGAGGTCGATGCTCAGCCACTGAGCCTCGCGGTGGCTCACACGATGTTTCTCCTGAGTCGGGGAGCTCTTCCGAACTCTGTGAGCATAGCCCGGGCGCATGCTCATGGGACACATCCCCTTTGCACTGGCTGAGGATGGGTTTGTTTTTGTTCATGTCCAATCTGTCCCATTTCAGAAGACTGTTCTGCAGGTAAAGTATCTTCTAGGCTTTTCGATTTCACCGCTTTTTGTCATTCTGAAATGGCTGCACTGTGAGACCTTATGTAGCCACAATCTGGACCCACTAATTTGGCCGATGACTAATGAGGGATTGGGGAGCCTGGGGAGTGGGAACCCTGAGGAAGTGAGGAGAGGGCGAGACCTTTGTCCTGCGGAGTAAATCACCCCCCCGCCCGGCTCAGTCCGTTAGGGATCCTTCAGGTGAATCGCTCACGGAACTGTGTGGCATGGCAAGTCCTTCCTTCTTTTCTCCCGATGTCATCCTCTTGCCACCTGATTGTGTTGTGTTCCTGATCGCTGCTTTTACTTTGTCATCACATGACAAGGGGCCTAATACTTTCAGACACACCTAGGGGAGTGGAGGTCAACCCCGATGCTGTTGCCAAGTTTACTTCAGAGCCACGCTATTCTGCTCAGCTTAAACTAAACAGGTTTTGTTTGGCTATAAGGGAAACTGTCTTCGTCTTTTGAGCAGTTAACACAGGAGTGGACACAGGGAGGACTTTGGAAATGTGTAAGGAAGAGGAAATTAAGGCCCATTGCTGTTTAGTTCCATATGCGCGTTTCTGTATTTTCTCTTTTTTAATTTAATTTTTTTTTTTTTTGGTATGCTGTTACCTTGTTGTGAAAGAGAACATTTTGTTAATAATAAAAGACAGAAGATGGGTGGAAATGAGAGTGATTTAGCTAAGAATCCCTCTGTGGGGGTGAATTGCCTGGTGGAGCTGCGGGTGGTTTTGTGTCCTTTAGAAGTTCCCATCAGCCTCTGGGCCCACAGAGGAGAATTCTGGGAGATCTGTGCAGCGAGAGCCGTGTCCTCGCAGCAGGAACAAGACCGCTCGCCTGGCATCTATTTTGAATTGTTTTTAAAATGTGGGTTTTGGAGGTTTTGTATTTGTGGTACATCGGACACATTTTCTTTCTTTCTTTTTATTTTATTTTATTGATTTTTTTACAGAGAGGAAGGGAGAGAGATAGAGAGGTAGAAACATGAGAGACACATCGACCAGCTGCCTCCTGCACACCCCCACCGGGGATGAGCCCACAACCAAAGTGCATGCCCTTGACCGGAATCAAACCTGGGACCCCTCAGTCCGCAGGCTGAAGCTCTATTCACTGAGCCAAACCAGTTAGAGCCGGACACATTTTCTTAGGTTATATAAGGGACACTTTTTGTGGGACTTGGGTCCTTGATGGGGATGCATGTGATCCCGTTTCTTGCGTAACAAGAAGTAGCAACAGGAAGAGAAGGGTAGCCGACCCCTTCTCCCCAAGCTTCCGCTCACCGGAGGGGCTGTCGCCCTGGAAAGCGTCCTGTTAAGAGTCTCACTGGAGCTCAGTGCTGTGGAACATGTGTGTCAGATTGTGTTCCTTCTGCAGAATGCCCCACACGTGCACCAAATGCCACGTGACAAGCAGCGGGCGCTTGTGTCTGGACTTTGGTGTGTTTCTGGTCTCGGATCACTTCTCCCTGGGACTTCTCCATTTCAGGAGGCTAAATAAAGACTTGGTACAAGTGGTTTTAGGAACATGAACTCTTAATGTTTAGTCTTGGAAGAACTAAGAAAAACTATTTTTTTAGAAATTGTAACTTTTCAGTGGTGTCCAATAGTGGGGACAGGGTTGGTGGAGGCGGTTTGCTTCTCTCTGACTCCAGGTATGTTTTGAGTCTTTCTAAAAAACAAACCACCAACTTAGCTCCCTCGGAATCGCTGTTAGCCTTCCTTTCCTTCTGTCTCCGTAGAAAACGTGGACGTGGACTTGCAGGCCAGCCTGGGGCAGAGCGAGGAGAAGCCGGTGCCCGCCCCGCCCGTGCCCAGCCCCGTGGCGCCGGCCCCGGTGCCGTCCCGGAGGAACCCGCCCGGCGGCAAGTCCAGCCTGGTCCTGGGCTAGCGCGCCGTCCGAACGCCATCGTTTTGTCTGTCTGTCCGTCTCCTCCATGCTTGTGAACTGCACAACTTGAGCCTGACTGTCCACCTTTGGGATTTGTTTCATTAAAGAAGAAGCACTTTATGTCCCGCTGTCTTTCTTTCCCCCTTTCTCTGTGGAGGAGGCGCTCCCTCCGTCCGTCCTCCTGCCTGCGGGTCCCCGGGCCGAGGCATGAGCGCCCCTAGTGGTAGAGAGGAGGGAAAGCCTCGAGCTTCGTCCCGTGTTTTTAAGAACAGATCATTTGGTTCCAAACGTGTTAGAGCATCTTTTGTACTGAGGTTTTTAAAACCCCTTTCTTGTCAGCTTTACTTGGGCTTCCCAAGCCTAATGGACAGGCCAGTCAACAGTCCACAGGCACCATCCCTACCCCCCTACACCCCCCCCCCCCCCCCCCGCCCTGGGCTGTCTTTATGCCGAACCTTCAGGGTGGCGCCCGAACTTGGCAGTGCCCTTTGCTAGAAGCATCTTCCTGTGCCTCATGCCTTGCTGCCTGCAGAGCAAAGAAGCTGCCTTTTCTGTTTGAACCGTAAGCGGGAAGCCGGTCACTAACGGGGCTGGCCCGGGAGAGCCTCCCGCTGACCCGCAGAGGACGCTGTGTCCACTGCAGCTGACCGATTCCCCGTGAAGCCGGGCAGCGCTCTGACCGCCGGGGGCTGGTGCATGATGCTGGTACTGGGCCATGACACGAATCTCATCCTTACAAACTGTTGTACTTCTCAATCCTGGACTGTTGCTTCAAGTAAACAAATGTACACATTTTGACATGCTGCGTCCTGTGTCTTCTTTCTGAGATGGTGTCGGTGTGCTGGCTGGCTGGTTGCTTTCTCCTTGTGACTGCAGACCCTCTGCTCGGCGAAAGGACCGGTGAAGGCCGAGGCCAGCGGGCTTCTCCCTGGAGACAGCTCTCTGGAGCAGCCCGTTTCCACTCACAGCGTGAGCTCCAACTGCCAGAAGGATCACGACCTCTGATATCGGGGATCATGAGATGAACTGACATCTAAAATAATTATTAGCCAATATGCTGTATGTCTGACTCTTCTACTTCGTGCTGGGTGTAACGGACTGCACACCCAGCACAGAGTCCAACCTGCAAGGCGCTTCTCAGTGGTGGGTGGTCAGAGGGGAGCTCCAAAGGAGGGTCCACATTAATTAGAAGGGGACAGGGTGGGGGGAATCAGTCGCCTTGAGTGATAGGGAGGTGGCTGGGTTCTAGGGAGGAAGCTCTAGGCCAGTGGTCTGCAAACTGCGGCTCGCGAGCCACATGCGGCTCTCAAGCCGTGGTTTGCGGCTCTGTTGACTAATGAGTTTGCCGACCACTGCTCTAGGCCAACATGCTCTCTCAGGTGTCTGAATTGGCCATTATTAGACCTGGCTGTTAGGCCCATCAGTAGTACTGACCAGCTGCAGGCTGTTGGCTTGTTATTCGGGACTCAATTTCCTAACTTAAAAATGACACCTTTTGCTCTGGCCAGTTTGGCTCAGTGGATAGAGCATGGGGACTGAGGGAGGGGGGGTCCTAATTCTGGTCAAGGACAGGTACTTCAGTTGCAGGCTCCTCTCCAGCTCTGGTTGGGGCACATGCCAATTGATGTGTCTCTCCCCCTCCCTTCCATTCTCTAAATATCAATGGAAGGGTATCCTTGGGTGGGGATTAACAACAAAACAATAAAAGAATTTTAAAATGTTTTTAAAAGTGACACTTTTGATGAACGAGGTCATCTCTTGAACCCCTTCCAAGATGGAGATGACTGAGTGTAGTGTAACCAGACTCACTTGAACCCCTGGGTATCGGGGAGCAGGGGGAGTGCTCACAAGCGGTGGGTGTTGAGTTTCTCAGTGTAAAGCACCCGAGCTGAGTTTCGGCTTCTCTCATGACTTCGGCGGTCGGGAACCAGCACCTTCTCTCAGTGAAGGTGGGGCTCCCAGAAAGATATGTCCCTGATTTGTGTCACCATTTAGGATTTGGGGATTTTTCTCCATAATCTACGCAGATAAATGCCTAATCAAAAGTAAGGGGTTCTGAGGGAAGGACAGTTCTGCCTGTCATTTTGCTATAAGCAAAATTACATGAAATTTCCTAAAATAATTTACATAGAATTTCCTAAAATTCCATGTACATGTTTGCTAAGGTTAAAGTTTCCAGTTAGAAAGTTTAGAAAGTGAAATTGAATGATCTTACAATGATGACTAGAATGGACAGTTTGTGCTTTCTTTCTTTTAAATTTGGTTCACACCTTTATTTTTAAAAATATATTTTATTGATTTTTACAGAGAGGAAGGAAGGATAGTTAGAAACATCCATGAGAGAGAAACATTGATCAGCTGCCTCCTGCATGCCCCTTTTTGGGGATGTGCCCGCAGCCAAGGTACATGCAAACCGGGGACCCCTCAGTCCTCAGGCCGACGCTCTATCCACTGAGCCACTCTGGTCAGGGCCAGTTTGGGCTTTTTACCTAGTTTGTCGGTGGCTTTAGTGAAGGAGGGGAAAGAGACAAGTGCTCAGTGTGTGGTGCTTGTGCAGTCAGTGCCTCCTCTTCTTACGCATGTGTATAAGTCATCTTTGAGTGGGAGCCGGCCTCCCTGTAACGGTCTGGAGGTCTGGGGGCTCAGATGGGGACCTGTCCTCGGGTGTAGCCAGAAATCTACAAAAGGGCGTTATCTCAGCGTTTTCCAGCGGGGACGGCGAGACGGGAGCTCTTCCCGGGGGACCGGGTTCACACCGGCGGGTCTGAGCTTTCTTAGCTGCTGGCTCCCTCCACGTTCACTGGCCGGTACCGGAGCCCCGGAGCCCGCCTTCCCGGGAGCCCGGCCGCGGCTGCAGGCGGGGCCGGGGGCGGGGCGGCCGCTCCCGCTACCAGAGGCGCCTCCGTGTGAATGGCCCGCGGGCCCCGCCGGGCGGGAAGGCCCTGCCGGCCCCTCCCCCGCGCCGGCCCCGCCCCCGCCGGCGCCGGCCCAGCTCGCCGGCGGCCCGCCCCGCCCCGCCCCGCCCCGCCCCGCCCCCCCCGCCGGCGGCCCCGCCCCCCGCCGGCCCCGCCCCCGCCCCGCCCGCCGGCGGCCGCCCTCAGGATCGCGTTCGGCCCGCGCTGCGCGGCGATGGCGGCGGCCATGGCGGCGCGGCGCGCGCGGCCCGTGCGGGTGCTGGTGGACATGGACGGCGTGCTGGCCGACTTCGAGGGCGGCCTGCTGCGGGCCTTCCGCCGCCGCTTCCCCGAGGAGCCGCACGTGCCGCTGGAGCAGCGCCGCGGCTTCTTCGCCCGCGAGCAGTACCGGGCGCTGCGGCCCGACCTGGCGGTAGGCGCGGGGGGCGCGGGGGGCGGGAGCCCGGAACGCAGAACCCGCCCGGGCCGGAGCTCCGGCCGCGCGGGGCACCGACCGGCGGGGAGCCCTCCGCTCCGGTCCCCGAGACGCCCCCTTCCCGATTCCAATCAGCAAAACTGACTTCAGACAGTTCACCCCGGACGGGAGCAGCCCCCCATTCCCTCCCCGCCCACCACGTGGAGGTCCCGCCGGGCCGGATCTGCGGGGGCAGAGCCAGGACGGAACACTTTCTTTCAGGACAAACTCGCCAGTGTGTACGAAAGCCCGGGCTTTTTCCTGGACCTGGAGCCCATCCCGGGAGCCTTGCAAGCCATGCAGGAGATGCAAGCCATGCACGAGTGAGGGAGGCGGGGGGAAGGCGGAAGGGGGAAGGGGAAGGGGGAAGGGGAAGGGAGGTGAAGGGGGAGGGGGAGGGGGCTGGCACCTCCCTGACCAACCGGCCTTCCCTGCAGCACCGAGGTCTTCATCTGCACCAGCCCCCTGGTCACGTACAAACACTGTGTGGGTGAGAAGGTGCGGCTGCCCCAGCGCCCCCATTCAAGCTTCCCTCCCTAAGTCCTGACACTAAACCAGGGAACCCGGGAGGTGTGGGGCGGGGGAGAGGGGAGCCCCACTCACTGCTTCCTCACTGGCCTGAATGCCGGGCCGAGGCCCCGCTGACAGACCCCCCCCCACACACACAGTTCTCCTGGGTGGACAAGCACCTGGGGCCCCAGTTTGTGGAGCGCATCGTCATGACGAGAGACAAGACGGTGGTCTCGGGGGACCTGCTCATCGATGACAAGGACACCATTCTAGGTTGGGTCTGTTCCTTGGGGGCCTGCGGGATTGGGGGAGGGAGCCCACATCACCCGCTCACGGACGCCTGCCATCTCTCTCCCCGGGTCCGGTGCCAGGCCAAGAGGAGTCCCCGGCCTGGGAGCACATCCTGTTCACCTGCTGCCACAACCAGCACCTGGCGCTGCCCCCCCCACGGCGACGGCTGCTCTCCTGGAGCGACAACTGGAGGGAGATCATAGAGAGCAAGCGGGACAGCGCGGACATGGCCCCAGGGGGGTGGACAGTGATCAGAGGGAAGGACAGGCCGGCTGGGATAGCCGGCACAGCTAAGTGACCCCAGCGCCGGCCGCCTGGCACCTCCCGGGAGGGCGGAAGCACGGGGGCAGTCAGTCAGAACGTCTCCATAAACAGTTTGGCTACTGCTCTGTTCAGGCTCTTTATTTGGGAAAGGGGAGCGCAGGCGCCGGGGGCTGCAGTTGGACGAGGCTGATAGAGCCCCCCCTTTCCAGAGGCCCAGGACCTGCCCCCCCCCCCCCCAATGCCATTCCTCTCCAGCTGCCTTCCCTTGGTCACTAAGGGAGTACAGATGACCAGGACTCCCCACTGCTCCTGAACCCCAGCCTTCCATGGGTGCCCACAGCCTCCCCTGTGCTGGCCAGCATGCACTGGACTACGGGCCACACACGTTAGGTCAGTGTCTGGTCTTCTGTCACCCTGAGCACCTCTGCCTGCATCCCCAAGGCCTCCTGAGATGCATTTCCAGGGACAAGAACCACGGGTGTGTGTGTGTGTGAAATAAGACGCAGTACAAGGGTTTGTGCCTGTATTCCGATGTCATCACGCTCAGGGCCTGGGCCTGGATGCCTGATGGTCACGTTAATAAGGGCAGGGCCGTCTTCATCCTGGAAGCCCTCCCATGGAGCCCGGCACACAGGCCTGTGTGGACACACGGTTACTTCTGGGCCAGCATTCACTCTGCCCCACGCCCAGCTCCGGTTTTAACAAGGCTCCTCATTCCTGTTCCTCAGAATGACTCCAGACCCTCTGTGAGGGCCCGGCTCCCTCCTCAGGTGCAGGCAGTTTCCCCAGGCCCGGGCCCAGCTGCTCTTGGGAGAACCACCGTCTGCAAGAGCCCTGGACCCCGGGCCCAGGGGGGCGCCTTCCAGGAGGGAGCCTGGCAGGGGGTGGGCAGCGGCAGGCCCCTGGCTGAGGACAGCGCCTTTGGCTTCCTTCTCCACATCTCGGCCTGCCTTCCTCAGCTCCTCTCCCAGCGCCTGCTCCTGTGCCAGGCTCGCCAGGCTGAGGAACTCGCCTTAGAAATGGCTGCCAGGGCACCAGCTGGGGGGAAACGCGCAGGGGAGCCACGCTGTCCCGCTCCCAGCCCCGCCAGGCCCCCGGGCCGGTCTCCGGGGGGGGGTGGGTGGGTCAGGGCTGCTGCGGGGCCTCGGTCCGGGGCAGGGGGATGCCCAGGGCGGAGTGGGCCGGCCATCGGCGGGCCTCGGCCACCTGGCTCGGGGAGCAGAAGTCCTCCAGGAAGACCTGGGCCAGGTTGCGGAGCCTGGCGTTGGCGGAGAGGGAGAAGCGCAGCATGCACTGCACCACGGGCGCGGAGCTCAGCTCGGGGTGGCGGCCGGGGCCCGGCGCGCTCAGGTACATGATGGTGGTGACGGCGGACAGCACCGTCTCCTCGTTGGGGCTGGACAGGCAGTTGATGATGAGCGGGCCGCCCCCCGCCTGCAGGATGTGCTCCTTGTTGGCCCGGTCCGCGCACAGGTTGCAGAGGCCTCCTGGGAGAGAGCGAGGCAAGTCTGGATGCTCCGGCCCGGCCTCCCCCGCCCCGCCTCCCGCTTCTCCGCCACGGAGGCTCCGGGCAGAGCCAGGCCGGGGAGGAGGCGGCCCAGGGACAAGGACCCTAAGCCCAGTCTGGTCTCCAGAGAGGCCTGCTGCCTGCCACGGCCTCTCCTGAGAGTGGGCCAGCCAGTTCAACGGCTGATACACTTTCCCTTTGTTCAAAGTAAAAAACAGTCACCAACCCTGGGACCTTTTGGCCCCAGACCTTCAGTCTGCCACCCTCTCGCTGGTGACCAGCACTCGCTGCTCCCTCACCAGGGCGGGTTCCCTGGAGCACCCCACTAGCCACTCCCCGCTGCGTCTGGGGGGCTCCTCACCACTCCAGGCCATCGGCTCCATGACTCAGAGAGGTCTTTGAGGCCGTTTTCCTGCCACCGCCCGCCAAGCCCACTGGCAGGTGCGGGTCTGCGATCGAGACCTCAGCTTCCTCTTGCACCCCGGCCGCCCAACGACTCGCCCCCGGACTGAGGAAGCCCGGTCACCGGGGCCACGTGAGCCACGGCCGCACCGCGAGCACAGGAAGCAGCCGGGAGGCCGAGGCGATGCGGGTGCCCGGCATCACCACGGGGTCAGCTTCCAGGGCTCCGCCCGGGTTCCTCTGGGGAGACCGGGGTGAGGCACCAGCATTCAGAGAACCCAGAGCTTCCGCCCCCGTCAACCTCGCCAGCCGTGGGCCGTGGCCAGAGCACAAGAGCGGAGCTTATCACTGAGTGCGATCCCTATGGAGTCCTGGGGGAGGGGCTCCCACAGCAGCCTGTGGCCATGGAGCCAAGTTCATCAGCAAGAAGGGCTGCGGAGAAGGTTAAGGGATTTTAAAATATATTTTTTAAAAATATATTTTACTGATTTTTCACAAAGAGGAAGGGAACGGGATAGTTAGAAACATAGACAAGAGAGAAACATCCATCAGCTGCCTCCTGCACACCGCCTACTGGGGATGTGCCTGCAACCAAGGTACATGCCCCTGACCGGAATCGAACCCGGGACCTTTAAGTCCGCAGGCTGACGCTCTATCCACTGAGCCAAACCGGTTTCGGCTGTTGTTGTTGTTTTTAAATACATTTTTATTGATTTCAGAGAGGAAGGGAGAGAGAGAAGCATCAAAGATGAGAGAATCACTAATGAGCTGCCTCCTGCACAACCCCACCCCACCCCAGGAATCAAGCTCCCAGGTGCCTGGGCACGTGCCCTGGTTAGGGATGGAACCATGGCCTCCTGGGTCATTGGTCGAATCTCAATCACTGAGCCACTCAGGCCAGGCTGTCCCGATAGTCTGAAGCCACACGGAGGGAAGTTCGTTAAATGTTCACACGTTCTTTGGTTTAAAAAGAAAGAACGAGCCTCAGTGGACTAACTCAGTGCCTGACCCACGGGCACTCCACGAGTATCTGTTGGAGGTCTTAAAGCAGTGAGGGAGGAAAGGGTTGACCTGCAGAGGGTTGGGGATGCTGGGGATGGCTAAGACCCAGCCCACCTTGGACCTCCCCTCAAATCCCCCCCGCAGTTCTGGATCTGGGCTGTGGCTCCCAGACAGGATACATCTGAGGGAGGTAAGGGGCTGAGAGACATTCTTGAAATCAGGAGCCCGTTCACCCGTAGGTCGCCCTTGGCACACTGGGCCATCCCTTGAGTGCCTTAGTACTGCTCCTGTCCCCACCAGTGGGCCCCATCGGGCAGGCCCCCACTCTCTGTTGTCCCTCTGTATCCCAGGCACCTACAGCTGTGGATGCTCCCTGGACACATGCTGGAGACACGAATGAACCCCACAAAATATTACCTTCACCCCCATTTTAGCAGAAGAAGCCAAGGCTGTTGAGTAACTTGTCCAGAGTCCCAGAAGACGGGGAGCCCTCTGCCACACCCAGGGGAAATGGGGTCCCTCCAGAAGCTCCAAGGACAACTAGCCCCGCTGTGGGCAGGCGCCAGGCTGGACTGGGAACGGGGACACACCTGCACCATCTCCTGCCGAGAGTGCGACCCAGCCTCCGGCCACGGCAGACGCACCCAGGCGGGGGTGGGACTGGCCTCGCCGTAAAGCGGGAGACAAGGACGGACTCACTCTCCGGCTGGTTAGTCATCACACCCAGGAGCGCCTGGGCGGGACACGGCCAGCGAAGCCGGGGGAGAACCAGGTGGCAAGCCCGGCAGGTGGGGGCAGAGGCCTCAGGAGAGCAGGCCCACCTGTGCCCATGTGAGGCCTGGGAGCCTCCAGGGATGGACAGGCACCTGCTGGAGCTCACAACTAACTGCCTGGTCCAAACACGGGGAGCAAGGGGGGAGGGCGAGGGGCCCCTAACCCTATAGCTTCCTTGACGAAGATCAATTTTCACCTTAGGTGAGCCTGCCTGCTGTTTTTGCAAGTGAGGTAACATGCCACCTTCCCCTGTAACTTTTTTCTGACCCCTCAGGGACCAGAGAGCCCTCATTGTTATCGTGTGCCCACACACTGCCTCTATGAGCTGTAAACGTTTGCTCCGGTACCCACCGATGTGAAGTGTCCCCGTTTTATTCTTTATCCACTCTCAGAGATTCCCCGCTTGGCTTTCTCCCGCCTCCCTAAGCCACCACCAAACAATTTCATGTAACCCCCCCTCCAACCTTACATCTCCTCCTTTGATTCTAACGTATAAAATAAGCTGTAAATTCTCTGGGTCATTTTCTCAGCAATAGTCAGTTTGGCTCAAATAAATTCATAAACATTCTCTACAGGTATGGATGTTTCTTAGGTTGACACATCGTTGAGTGAAAGAAACTAGACACAAGAGTACACAACCTGACTGGCCTGGGTGGCTCAGTGGTTGAGCGGCGACCCATGAACCAAGAGGTCACCGGATTGATTCCGGGTCAGGGCAAATGACAGGGGCTGCAGGCTCCATCCCCAGTAGGGGGCATGCAGGAGGCAACCAACTGATGCTTCTCTCATCACAGATGTTTCTGTTTCTTTCCCTCTCTTTCCCTCTTTCTTCCCCCCTCTCTAAAATCAGTAAAAAATAATAGTAATTTTTTTTAGAGTACACATCTGCATGATCCCACTAATATGAAGTTCAAGAACGGGCTAAAATAATCCATGGGGACAGAGGTTAGGTTAGTGGCTACCCTGGGGTGGGAGACACTAACTGGGAGAGGGCACGAGGGACCTTGCTAAAACCTGACCAGGGCTGGTTACCTGAGCATGCATGCACTTAAGGTATATGCATTCCACTGCATGTTCACCAGCTGCAGTTCAAAAATGGATACCAGGCAAACACGAGAACAAGTTGGGACTGGCTGGGGAGCGTGTTTTGGACAAACCAGACAGGAGAGAGAAAGAAAACAGGAGGCAAAAGAAGGGCCCTGCTAGACACACGGAGCCACAGACACCCCCGGGAGAGGCAGAGGAGGAACCCCCAAACGAGGCCTGGGATGAGGAAGCTGGAGGCTCTAAGAGGTCAGGCAGGTGACTCTGGGGCACACGGCATGTAGGACCGTGTTGCTGGGAGCCAGGCCTGTCCTGGGGATTAAATGGGGTCACGCTGACACACGCTGAGCCCGCACCTGGTGCCTGCAGGCCAGGCGGGGCCTTGGAGAAATGGCCCAAGACATACCCACCTCGAGGACCCGCCCACCTGGGCCGGCCACCGTCCATCACAAGTCAAAACCTTCATTGTTTTCTCCTTGGGTTTTTGTTTTGGGGACTATTTGTTTCTTGGGTTTTACGTTAGCATCTTGAAAATGGTTCTTTCTGAAATTTCAGATTTGGGAGTCATAACACTATTGAAAAAGCTACCGGTACCATTGTGTAGAAGGGAGGAGGGGGGACAAATACATGTATATACATGTATGTGCTCACATTTGCTGGTTCTCTGTGAGGGGAGGACTGTGGAAGAGACAGGAATGGAGGGAGATTCCTATAAACCCTGGAATATAGTTTTGACCTGAACTGATGAATTTCATTTCTAGACATTCATCCTGCAGATATAGACCCACAAGTAAGAAATGAAACACCGGTAAGGTGTCTATTGAAACACTGGTTGTTTTGGCAAAATGGAAAGCAGCTAAACACCCATCCCTCAGGGCCTGGCGAGGCCTCAGCGCCTCCACGCCAGGGAATAAACACCACGCCGCTTTACAGGAATGATGACGCTGCAGGTACGTCAAGATATGCTGCTAAGTAAAAAAAAAAAAAAAAAAAAAAAAAGACAAGAAGAATATATAGTATACTGCCACATTGCAGAACATGCAAAAATATATTCATATAGATATATACGTGTTTGTAAATTCCAAAAAATATTTAAGAAACGAGTAACAGTGGTGAGCTATGGAGAAGGTTAGAGAGGGAGTTACCTTCCACTACCTTTTATATTTTGTGCCACGTGAATCGGCCTGGGCGAGTGTTTTTTGAAGAAGTGGCGTTAGAATAGGAATTTCAAAAGGACTTTCAATCGTTGTCCTGTTGCTATTTGGCTCTGTGGACTGATGAGTTTGCTGACGACTGTCCTAGCCCGTTTGGCTCAGTGGATGGAGCATCGACCCACAGACTGAAGGGTCCCGGGTTCGATTCTGGTCAAGAGCACATTGTCAGAGTTGCAGGCTCAATCCCTGGTACTGAGCAGGGTGTGTGCTGGAGAGACCCAACCAATAGATGGGTCTCTCTCATATGGATGTTTCTCTCTGTTTTCCCCCCCTCCCTTCCACTCTCTTTAAAAACCAATGAAAAAATATCCTCAGTAAGGATTAACAAAAAAATAAATTAAAAAATTTAAAAAAAAATTTATAACGTCATTGCATGTAGTTGTTGACTGTCATTTGCCCTGCTAAATAGTAGCAACATCCCACAATGTTGGTATCCAGTCTACCGGTTACTGTTTCTAGTCTGTGTCTGTTACAAGTTTGCTAGCGACATTTTTGCACACGTGTCTGGATATGCATGTGCCCTACTGCGATGACTGTAACTGCTGGGTCAGGGGTATGCATGCCTAGCTTCCATTTTCCTAAATACCGTTTTCCAAAGAGAGGCCCCTGAGGACTTACCTACACCTGCCTTTTTCTGAGCACCACCACCATCTAGTGGCAGCTTCGTGTATGACAGGAAATAGAGCACAAGAAAGCGATTTAACCTGAATTCGGGGAGGCAACCTATCTGAACCCAGTTTTAGTAACAAGACTCAAGTGTCCTGTGATGTCCCAGGATTCAACCAGTTTTCACAGGAGTAGAGGATTCTCTCCCGGCCCCTTCCTGTCTCCATACGGCATCTAAGATGGCGCCGGCGTGCACCCACGGCATACAGGATGCCTGAGAGTCAGCCATGGTGCTTTGGGCAAACATTCCCAAATGAATGCCAAGGCTCCCGGAGTGTTTGTGTGGGGCACAAGCCTGGAATACTCATCCAGGTATCTGCTGAGATCTGGCTTTATATTTGGCTCCCCGAATTCCCTCGCTTCCCATGCCCTGCCCTACCTGGAGCAGTACCGTCTGGTGACAGTTCGGCTTAAAACCTGGGCCGGGGCTGACCAGCCACCAGAACATCCCAGGGAGGTGCCGGAGTGGCCAGGCGCCATGGGAACCAGGGGAGAGGACACACTGGACTGTGAGGACACACTGGCTCCGGCAGCGGGTCCCCTGGGCGCAGAATGTGGGTCCAGGAAGATGGGGTGAACTCCCGGCTCCAGTGAGTGCTCAGTGTGAGCCTCAGGCACTGGGCCTCCCCTCACGGAGGTGCTGTCTCAGCCTATGGCTGGTGGCCGGTCCTCTGCACCTACGGGCCCTCTCTCACCTTCCCGGACCAAAAGGCCAGAGCCCTCCAGACAGCAGCGGAGATAAGCAAGGCTGGGCTCTGCCCTCGCGGAGATCACAATCTCAGACCCGCCGTTGGTTCAAAGATTCCAAACGACCAAGCGCAGCACAGAGCCTTCCACAGCAGAGTGAGCGCTGCCAGCGTTTCCCACTGAGCCCCGGCCACGGGGAGAGAAAGGAGAAGGACAGCAGGAACCAGATCCGCTTCTAAGGAGCGCTGGCTCTCCTTCTGGACTCGCACAATAAGGAGAAGAGAACCTGAACCTGCAGGGGATCCCGTGAAGAGATCCAGTGCCCAGGGAGCCACTGCTCTTGGGATTGAGAACTTTGCTCTGGTGGGAAGGAGGGAGGAAAAGCAGAGGAAAAAGTGCTGGGAGGAGAAAACCAGGAAGCTGCCCAGGAGAGCGGGAATGCAGGGCAGGCCATGTCTCTCCGGCACTTAGGACAGGGCCTTGCTCACACAGTACATGCCCCATAACTATCTGTCCGGTGAAGAATTCAATAGGTCTCAGACTTAGAATTCAAGTCATTCTAAGTCAGCTCTGCTTTTCTTGATGTGACAACATTAAAATAAAGATGTTTAAAAGATCACTCTACATATTCTTCTCCCAAGTGGCTGCAATCCATTCCTTCACTTATGATCTCATCTCTAAGCAGGTGGGAAGGCAGGCAGGCAGGCATGCAGAGGCTCCCGGGCTGAGAGCCAGACCTGACCCAGGCTGGCCGGGACCGGTCATGTGTGAACCCCGAAGGCTGCCACTGCAGCGGAGGGGCTGCCTGAGGTCTCTTTCCCAGCCTCTCACTTCCGACTCGCTCATCTCCCCGCAGCCCGTCAGGCCGTCCCGTCCTTACCGATAGCAAACTCCACCAGGGTCTCATTCTCCTCCGACAGCGAGTCGAGGAATAAGTCCAGGACCTGCAGCTGCCGCAGATACGGGTAGTTGCTGGGGTCGTAGGCGAAGTTGGCGAGGTTGGCCAGGACTTGCTCCTTGGCGTCTGCGGCGGGAAAGCGGCGCTGGAGCCCGGTTCGGGGCGAGGGTCGCGGGCGGACCCCCGCCCCGTCCCCGGACCCCCACCCTGTGGCCCTCACCTTGGCTCTCCGTCTCCTGGAATTCCGTGACCAGCGCCTGCAGGTAGCCCAGCCGCCCGACGTGGGGGTCTACCTTCGGCTTCTGGGCCATGGCCGGGGTGGCGGGGGGCGCACGGGGGGCAGGCAGGAGAGTGATGGGGCCGGAAAGGCGGGCGGGAACACCCCTGGGCCTCCCTGGGCCAGGGCGGGCCCGGGCGGGCCCCGGGCTCCTTTCCCAGCGTCAGGCTGTGCAGGGATGTGCAGCAGGAACTGGGGTGCGGGGTGACACCAGGGCTGTGTAGAGTGGGGCGTGAACATCTAAACTGGGGCGCGGGGGACACGGAAGCGACAGGGCACGGGAGGAGGGAGCAGCACCACCCTGCCCCGAGCGGCAGGGTACGGCTTCCCGTAGGATCCCGGACTTCCGGCGGAAGCCGCGCTTAGCTCCGCCCCAGGGGCGGGGCGGGGGCGGGCCCAGGAGGACCAGGGGCGGGGCCGTCGTGGAGCTGGGCGCGCGTGCGGAGTAGACATCCCGGCTCCCCGCCAGGGCCCGGGAAGGGCTGTGGGTGCTTAGGGGGACTCTTCTGGGGCTGTCGAGGCAGAACCACCAATAGATCCCCTTGCACCTGCCGAGGGGGCACAGGCCAGCCTCCTCGACCGAAGGACGCCCCACTGGAGCGTGGGCGTCAGCTCCCCCCCGCCCCCTCCCACGGGTCCTTTTCCAAGAAGCCGGGCGAGCCTGGCACCCATGCTCCCCCGCCCTGAGCTGAGCCCTCCGCCTCTGGTCAGGCTGTTTGCCAGCCAAGTGGACAGGGAGCGCCAGGGCAGCGCCAACCGGTGGTAGGAGCCTCTTTCCACCCAGATGTACCGTTTTGGCCGCTTTCTGGGTTGGGGAGCAGTCCTGGGTGGTGTAGCCCTTAGGCCCCATTACTTCCTGGGGCGTTTCAGGAAGGTGGTGTGTGACCGGACCTCATAGGCACTGGGTATATAAAGCGCCAGGGAAGGAGGTGGTCCTGCCGCACTCCCACGGAGGTGAAGGGGGCCTGGGCTGTGAGCTTCTTGAGGGCCAGGACCATGTGCCTTTGGCCCTGGGCCATCATCCTCCCTCCTGCTACAGCCCCATTGGGAGCGGGCCCCACATAGAGGGGCTCAACTCCCTGTGGTCAGTCCCTGCCTGATGCACACCTCCCCGGGGGCCTGCATAGTTATGGCCGTAGTCTGGGTGCTTGGATATCGAGGCTGCTTCTTTGGGGACCGGATGCGACCTGGGGGTGTACACTCAGCCAGAGGTGGCCAGGGGCTTTCTCTGCCTCTGGCCAGACAAAGCAGCAAAGGCTTGTGGACAGAGCTCCACCCTGTGCTACTCAGGAACTGGCGCAGAACAGCCAAGTGTGGGTTCTGGAGTCAGATGGGCCACCCATCCTCCCCCCTCTGGTTTCCTCCTAAGCTCTCAGGGGCCCCCCTCCTTGGAGAAAAATTCTCAGTCCTTGGTTTTGTGTTGAGGGCATTGACCAGTTCTTACCGGTTATGTCCAGTCCCAGGCACACAGTAGATGCTTAATAAATATTTGCCTGGTGATTATGGTGACTGTTGCCCGGGGCAGATAAAGTCAGAGTTCTCGGTGCTGAATGGTCACTGATAATCTTTTTTCCCTAAAAGAAATCTTTCAAGGAAGTGGGCCTATTAGGGGATGCTTGTTTCAAAGCTGGGAGCTACGAGCATCAAAAGCTTTTACCTACTCACCAGCCCAATTCCCTCCTTTTCCACCCCATTAAGATGGAGGAGACAGGACTTGGTGAAATGTGCCCATGTTTTGCCCCTTCAGTTCACAGACTGTGGGTGGTGGCCAAGCACAGGACGGGATGGGGAGCAGGAAGGCAGTGGGACGTTTCAGGATCCGACTTTTCAAACGGGGAGAGATTTTAACTTATCCAGGCCCGCCTCCTCCTTTATAGAAGACCAGAGACGCTGAATAATTTGCCCAAAGGCACACAGTAAATTGAGGCAGAGTCAAACATATTATAGAACTCGGGTCAAGCACCCTTTGCTTCGCCTCTGCACTACTTTCTTTGGCCATAAGGGGGCACTCGTGGCAGGGTCCTGGAGAGGACAGGGCAACGCCAACGGTGCTTACTCAGGCCAGCTGGACGCGTGGAGGAGGAAGGCTAGAGGCGGATCATGAAAATAAAATCAATCCTCCTGATAAGGTTTTCTCGTTGGAGCCTGGCTGAGCCTGAATCAACAAACCAGGCCCTGGGCGTGAGCAGCCCCTGCTAAGCTGGGGGGACTGAGGGGGAGGACTGCTCCAGGCGCGGCTCCCGCTTCATTAGCTCCGGGGTTTATAGTCTGCGGCAGGAAACACATCTGTGTGTAATTCAAACACACGTGTTCGGTTCCCCCGGCCAGGACCCTGCCGGGACAAGCCCGGGCCGATGGCAGCCAGCCCCCACAGGGGTGACCTCGGGGAAGGGCACCAGCCAAGGGTGTGTGGGGAGCGCTCTGACCTCCCGGCCAAACACAGGCCCCTGGGTAGCTGGCCCAGCAGCTACTCACCCAGGGCTGAGGCCTGACACAGCAGGGAGACAGGAGGGCAGGAGAGGGGAGCAGAAGGGCTTCTATTGCAAAGAAGGGCTTCTATTTTCCCAGAGGCCCTTGGGGCCTGCCTAGCAATCGGACCCTCCCTGCTGCTCAGTCAAATGCCAGCTCCCCCAACCAACCCCCAGCACTGACCTTCCCGGTCAAATACTGGAGGGGACAAAGGAACGAGACCCTGGAGGGGGGCCCTGCCGCGTGGGCAGGGGGTTCCTCACACTTCACTGATTCGAGGACCCACGTGAGGTGCTCCCCTCCGATTCTCCGCACAGACAGCAGGACAGGTGCTCCACCGACATTTAATCTGTCAGAACCCTGATGCAGGCTCATCCGCAGCGTGGCCACCGGTGGCTGCAGGCCACCACCGATTCTCCCCCAAGGCCCTTCCTCCCAAGTCCCAGTCTGCGGGGGGCCCAGCAGCCTGTGCTGGGGGCAGCCCCGAGGGCAGGGGCTGGGCCACAGGAGGAAGGGAGGCGGGGGGCTCGGGACAGGCAAGCTCTTTGGAACTGTCTGGAGCTGGAGAAGGACAGAGAGGTCACCTCAGACGCATCCAGGCTGGACCCGAAGGCCCGGCGTGCTGAGCTGTAGCAGCGGCAGTGGGCGGCCAGCTGAGCCCGGTCGGCCGTGAGCTCAGACCCACCTTCCTGGGCCCCACGTCCCCTGGTGCCCAAGGAAAAACGCCAGGAGGACCAGCTCCTGGAATCTGCTCCTCGGAAGGAACCCTGAGTCTTCGGAGGCCAGCTCCTGGCTGAGCCCCGACGTGCGGGGCGGGACGGATGGACGGGACGGGACGGCCTTTGGGTCCGGCTTTGCCCAGTGAAACAGCAGGACGCCCGTTCCCGGGCGGAGGCAGTGTTCGCTCCCCGACCTCGGGGCTCAGATGCCCGTCACACATGTGATCCTGGGACTCAGACGCTGGTCACATACGTGATTTCTTCGGTGCACGGCTGCTTCTCCGAGCTGCCGGGGTCCTCCCCGAGGAGGGCGGGCAGCGGGGCCGCCTCCGGGATGGCCGCCTCCGGGGTGGCCGCCCCCGCCCCGGCCGGCCGGCCCTGCCTCTCCTTCCGCTGAAGCGCACAGAAGCCGCCGCCCATGAAGAGGGCGGAGGAGACGGTGAAGAAGCTGGACATGTAGAACACGTAGCTGAAGTTGCTGTCGGTGCTGTCCAGGACAAACCCTGCGGGACGGACAGCAGTGAGGCCCGGCCCTGGCGGCCAGCTCCCCCCGCCCCGCCCGCCCCGCGAGAGCAGGGCTTCCTTTCTGTCCCGGAGGGACCGGGCCGGGGACTGTGGCTGGCAGCGAACAGGCTCTCAGTAACTAGTGGGTCAAGGTAAGGGGGAGAGGAAGCGCGGACCCTCCTCGGGCCCAGGCAGGGAGTGTCCTCAGCCAGAGGGAACTGCAGGGCGGTGCTCCCTCTGGGCAGGAGCTTTGACAAGGGCCCGGGGGGGGTGGGGATATCGGCTCGGCATAGGCCAAGCCCCGGTTACGGCAGGAGTTCTTTCCTGCATTTTGCAGGTGACACTGTGGCTGCGAGAAGGTAAGTGACTGGTGGGGTCGGTCCCACGGGGAGGAAGTGGCAGAACCAGGATGTCAGTAACAGCCAATCCGTGCCTCGCAGTGACTCTCCCATCTTCTCCACTAAGCGCTTTACGGTGTGACGCGTGACCCTCACCACAAGCCTACCAGGTAGATTCTATTCTCACCCTCACTTTGTTGATAAGAAAGCAGGGACAGCCGAAACCGGTTTGGCTCAGTGGATAGAGCGTCGGCCTGCGGACTGAAGGGTCCTGGGTTCGATTCCAGTCAAGGGCATGTACCTTGGTTGCGGGCATAGCCCCAGTAGGGGGTGTGCAGGAGGCAGCTGATGGATGTCTCTCTCTCATCGATGTTTCTGACTCTCTATCCCTCTCCCTTCCTCTCTGTAAAAAATCAATTAAAAAAATGTAACATACTGAGTGCCAGCTGGGGACCAGGCTGCAGCCAGTCCCGTGAGGTGCTTGCGGAAAAAAAAATCACAGATTCCAAGTTCCTACCCCTGGGATGCTGGCTGGGCCCAAATCTGTGCAGACGGTCCCTTCCGCCTCACCCCCTAACCCTGCCCTCCCGGCCGCGCCCTCCTTCTGGGGCCTCACCAGCCATTGGCGGGGAGAGGAGGATGGAGATGCTCTCCAGGATGGTGCAGAGGCCCAGGGCCCTGGAGAACTGGTCCATGGGGACCACGTCCATGAGCACCTGGAAGAAGAGGGCGCCCACCACGCTCATGGACACGCTGTACACCAGGCAGTAGCCCACCAGCACGCGGTAGTTGGCCGACACGGTGCACACCAGGTTGGTGAGCCCGTTGAGCAGGACTGCGAGGCTGAAGAGGTACTTGCGGAATCGGGCGACGTCCGGGCGGCCGGCCACCAGCCCGGCCATGGGCCGCAGGAAGATGTTGCTAAAGCCGATGATGGAGATGAGCAGGGCGGCCTTGTGCTCGTCCACCCCGTACCGGATGGCGAACGGCACCAGGAAGACCTGGGGCAGCGGGAAGCCGAGGATCATCCACGTGACGCCCAGCGTGAACACACGGTAGCCCGCGTTGTGCCACAGGATGTCAAAGGCCAGGTAGCGCAGGGTGGCCCGGCCGCACGCTGCCAGGCGGCCGGGCGCGGGGGCTTTGGAGGGCACGGGAGGGCCTCCTCTGGACGCGGGGGCCGCGCCGGGGGCCACACTGGGGGCCACGGGCCTCAGGATGGCCCCGCAGACGCAGCAGTGCAGGAAAACCCCGCCGAAGACCAGGAAGGTGCCCCTCCAGCCCAGCTCCTCCAGGAGGTGGCGGGCCAGCAGCGGCCAGAGGGTGATGCCCAGGGAGACGCCCACCGAAGCCACGGCGTTGGCCAGTGCCCGCCGGCGGGTGAAGTAGAAGCCCAGCACAGTGATGGTCGACTGGAAGCTGAAGCACAAGCCCAGGCCTGTGGGGGAAGGGGGGGACCAGCTCGAGGGCGTTCTGGAGCCGCCCACAGCGGGGTCACGGGCCCACAGCACCCACAGCGGGGTCACACCCACAGCGGGGTCACGGGCCCACAGCACCCACAGCGGGGTCACACCCACAGCACCCACAGCGGGGTCACGGGCCCACAGCACCCACAGCGGGGTCACGGGCCCACAGCACCCACAGCGGGGTCACACCCACAGCACCCACAGCGGGGTCACGGGCCCACAGCACCCACAGCGGGGTCACACCCACAGCGGGGTCACGGGCCCACAGCACCCACAGCGGGGTCACGGGCCCACAGCACCCACAGCGGGGTCACGGGCCCACAGCACCCACAGCGGGGTCACACCCACAGCGGGGTCACGGGCCCACAGCACCCACAGCGGGGTCACGGGCCCACAGCACCCACAGCGGGGTCACAGGCCCACAGCACCCACAGCGGGGTCACGGGCCCACAGCACCCACAGCGAAGTCACATCCACAGGGGGGTCACGGGCCCACAGCACCCACAGCGGGGTCACACCCACAGCGGGGTCACGGGCCCACAGCACCCACAGCAGGGTCACAGGCCCACAGCACCCACAGCGGGGTCACGGGCCCACAGCACCCACAGCAGGGTCACAGGCCCACAGCACCCACAGCGGGGTCACAGGCCCACAGCACCCACAGCGGGGTCACGGGGGCCTGTCCCGCGTCTGCTCTCCTTCCCTTCTAGCTCAAACCCACCTCCAGGTCCCCAGGGATCTGAGATGGCGTCAGCCTGCCCGCCCCCCTCCCTAGAAACATCCGCCCCTCAGGTCTGCCCTCCCAGGGCTGCCAGGGCACAGCTGTCCCCTGGGCACAGTACCCAGGTGATCTTTAAAAACTTAACATCAGCCCGGCCAGCGTGGCTCCGTGGCTGAGCGTCAACCTGTGAACCAGGAGGTCATGGTTCAGTTCCCGGTCAGGGCACGTGACGGGGTTTCGGGCTTGGTTCCCAGTGTGGGGTGTGCAGGGGGCAGGGGGCAGCCGATCCATGATTCTCATCATTGATGTTTTGCTCTCTCTCTCCCTCTCCCTTCCTCTCTGAAATCAATACAGATATATATGTATTTTAGCTCTAGCCGGTTTGGCCCAGCCCGGGCCCTGGTCAAAGCATATGCAGGAGGCAATCAATCAATGTGTTTCTCTCACATCGATGTTTCTCTCTGTCTTTTCCTCTCTCTTCCACTCTCTCTAAAAAAAAAACAACCAAAAGCTATATATATATAGTTTTTTGTTTTTTTAAATTTATTTTATATATGTTTTAAGACAACTTAAAATCACAGTAAGTCTCTCCCCTGCTTAACACCTTCCAGAGACTCCCGCTCACACGTAGGGGGAAAGCCAGAGTATTTACTCTGACCTGGAAGGCTCTGTACCATCGGGCCTCCGGCCACCTCTTGGCTGCCACCTCAGGCCGCTCCCTGTCACTCACCGGGAGGCAGCCACCTCAGCTTTTTCTCTTCCTCCGGACACCGCGCTGCTCCCTGCCTCGGGCATCGCTGCTGCGTTCCCTCTGCCGGGCACACATTCCCGGGCCCCCTGTCCTGACGCAGCTCACTCTGCCGCCCCCGCACAGCTGGGCCTTCTGGAGAGAAGCTCACAGCCGCCATGACCACCGGCCTCAGGCGGGCCCTGGGTGGCCAGACATGCCATCCATCAACTCTCCCTCCTCCTGGATGAGGCCCGGGCTTTCTTCCTCTTTATACTCCACACCTCCCCGCTCCTCACTCCCCGCTGACAGCCGCCTTCGCCTTCGCCTTCCCGCCGGTGACAATGGACCATCTGTGCCCACGGTCACGGCCAGCCCTTCCCTCCGGCCCTGCCTCTTGTCCACTGGGAGGGAGAGCCCTCCAGCAGTGTTCCTCTCTCCCGCATCACCCGTTTCCCACCCCTTTTCCAGATCGTTCTCCTCCGTTGTTATTTCTCTCATTAAAAACAAAACACAACCCTCCCTTGACCCCACAGCCTCTTCTGGGTCCCGCCCATTTCTGTTCCCCTTGCTCCAGAATCTCGTGTGAGGCTTGATCAACTGCCCTCTGCCCGCGCTGTGTCGAAACAGCGCCCATCAGACTTTCACCCCCACCTCTGCTCCAGAGCTGCTCTCGCTGAGGTCACCAACCTCTCCATTGCCAAATCCAAGGAGCCTGCGCCCCACTGGCTCTGACCCCGCAGCGGCCTGGCACCCGGAACCACTCCCTCTTCCTCTCGAACTTCCTTCATTTTCTCCTCCTAGAAACCCCACCCGCCGGGCTCTCCCACTTCTCTGTCGTTTCCCCGTCTGGACCACTGCATACCGGAGCACCCTGGGCTCAGCCCTCGCTCTCCCTCTGACAGCAGGGTGACCCCTCAGTTCGAGACGTGCATACCAGCCATCTCAGAATGTCCCAGCAGTCACTCAGCCCGGGGCCTGTTCTCCTCTGAGCTGCCCGTCGTCCTGCAGACCCGCCCTCCCATCCTTCCCTGTGGTGGTTATGGCTGCTTTATCCTTCCAGCAGCTCGGGGCCCAGCGGCCTGGGGTCCGCCTTCCTGCTCTTGGCTCATCCTTCCCTCTTCTCTGCACTTCACGTGCTCAGCCTCCCACAGGGTTTTCTGAGCACCCCGGTGGGCAGCAAGGAGCTTTGCAAACAGTGATCACATGATGTCACTCACCCGGCCGCCCGAACCCATCCCATGACTTCCCGTCTCACTACAACTGAACCCCCATCCAGCCTCCACCCCTGTTCATGACCCTCTGCTCATCTGGCCACCACACTGCTCCTGGCCACCCCAGGGCCTTTGCACTTGCTGTCCCCTCTGCCTGGAATGCCCTTCCCGCCCCTCCAGAGCCTGGGGCAGACCCCCTTCTTCAGCTCTCCGCCAGCCGTCCCTTCCTCTCAGCCTCCTCTGCTTGCTGCTGCAAACAGCAACCTCCCTTCGACCCTGCGTACCTCCCGCTTCGGGCGTTCTCGATCGTCTACATGCTCCCTTGTTTAACCTCGGCTCACCACCGCCCTCCGCCGGACGCTGTCACAGCGCTGTCCCGTCTCTCACGCACTTGTCGCGATCAGATAGGCCCCTTATTTATCTGTCCGTGGCCCCTCTCCCTGGGGGCTCCCTCCTGTGAGCTCTGCCGGCCCCGTCCACCTGCATCGGACACTTCCCAATAGGCGCCCAGCAGTTCTCCGAACGAACGACAGTCACCTGTGAAGAAGCCCGCTGCGAGGTAGAGCTGGCCGAGGGAGCGGCAGAAGGAGCTGGCCACCATGCCCAGGCTGGCCAGCACGCCCCCCAGCATCACGGTCGCTCGGCAGCCAAAGCGTCCCACCAGGATGCTGCACAGGGGCCCTGTGGGGGAGGGGGAGGGGCGGGGTGAGAAGCCAGCCAGCGGGGGATGGGGGGGGGGCAGGTCGGGAAGGGGTTCCAGCAGGAACTAGTCAGGAGGCTTAAAGGGCATGAACCCTGGGGCCCGCAGTCCTGGATCCTGATGCCCACCTTGCCACGCACTGCCCCCGTGACCCCAGCAAGGCTCTCTCTCTCTCTCTCTCTGCCTCAGTTTCCTCTCCTACAGGAGGGGTCAGGCTGGGGGATGTGTGACCAGGTGTGAGGTAAGGTGCTGCCGATGTCCGACGTCCAGTTTGACGCAGACAGGACCGTCGCCGCCCACCCGAGGCTGCTTCCAGCCGCTGGAACAGGATCGGCTCAAGGCCGGGGTGCACTCTTCACTGGGGGCCTGTCCGGGGGTGGAGGAGGGAGGTGACCAGGCATCTAAATCAGGGAGCACACCCCCCATCCTCAAGAAGACTGGCCACAGCCCTCCTGCTGCCTCCCGCCCGTCTGTCCAGGGTGAGAGCTGGGGCCTGGGCCACTCTGCACCCCTTTGCACTGGCAACTGGAGAAAACTGGGTGGGGTCCCTTCTCCCCTCCCCCACGGCCTCCAGCCACCACCAGAGCCGGCACCCAGGTGTGCGGCTGCTGTGGGAGAGGGGCCTGTCTTCCCCACCCCACCCCACCCCCACCCCACCCCGAGCGGCTCTCTCCGGGCCCAGACCCAGAGGAGTCGAAACCAGCCAGTCCCGGCCAGCTGCACTGGGCAAGGCCCGTTCGCCTCGTAGCTGGTGCCCTGCCCCCAAGCCCCGGAACGGAGTTTCAGGGAAAGTGTGAGTGTGCACGAGCTTAGCGTGTGCGTTTCTGGGGTGAAGCGGGGGGTGTGTGTGTGTGTGTGTGTGTGTGTGTGTGTGCGTGTGGCCGCTATCAGCTTTGGGGGGGAAAGAGGAAGTGAGCAGCCCATGCTCAGAGATAAAGGAGCAGAGGCCACAGTGGAGGGAGAGGCGAGGCTTGGCCGTGGGTATGACCCCGGGTGCACACAGGCCCCCCCTGCCGCCTTCCGCTGACCTGTGTCAGGAAAGGTGATATTGGGGAAAGCCCTGAGTCATGGAGTCGGGGTGGGCCTGGGCGGGCAGCCAGCTCAGCTGAGGTAGCTGGGGGTGCTGGGTGGGGCGCCAGGAGGCAGGGTGTTCCGCTGGCAGGCGCCAGAACTCACTCGGCAACCTTGGGCAGGCCTTGCACTTTGCTCTTGCGTACTTTCCTCATCTCTGAAATGTGTGGGAGCAGGAGGCGCTTGGGATCAACGATACTTCCCAGTTTAAAATGGTCTATCGATCTCTGAGCATGGGTTAAAGGCGTGTGTGTGAGAGAGACAGACAGAAGAGACAGACAGGAGTCCCAAGCAGACAGACAGGAGTTCTAAGCAGACAGACAGGAGTCCCAAGCAGCCTACTAGGGGGCAGTGAGTGGAAAGCTGGCTGGGAAGTGGGGGTCCCACTAGATGCCCGGCTCCCAGCCTGTGGCCCAGACCCGTCTGGCTACGTGGAAGGAGCCCTCTGAGATGCCCACCTCTGCACCAGCCTCCCAAGTGAAAAGGTCACGTGGCCTGGGCTCGGCCTGGCCGTTTCCCCTCGCCCTGAGCCCGTGCCCGGGGTGACAGGTTCAGAAGGCATTCCAGCAAAGGTGGCACCTCGCACTCTGACCTCCCGCCCGATTGGAGGGAAGGAAGTGGAAGGACAAGCAGCTACTGGTGCCAGGTGGAGAAAGTGGCAGGAGGTAGGCAGGGAGATGAGGTCTGCCAGGCAAGCATCCCACACCCTCATGCAGGGAGAGCCCTGCGCCCCACCAGACACCGCTCCAGGTGACCAGGCCTCCTACAGGCCCCTGCGGAGTCTCCCTGAAGGCCAGAGCAGCCAGAAGCTGGGGGCAGGCCCCTGAGCCCGCGACTGCTGTGCAGACTCCCTGGACAGCTGACCTTCTCCCATGGCTGGGGGCGGGGTGAGGAGGTCACAGCCCTGGAGGAGCCAACCAGGAAATGAGGGGGGCTGCCTCCTCCATCTCCCAGCTCTTGCAACCCCCCTCTCTGCTGCCTGGTGAGAGACAGGGCTCTGGCAATGCCCCCATCTCGCTCCCGGTGCCTTCAAAGAGCCCCTTTGGGTCCTGACGCCCGGGCGAGGATCTCAGGATACAAGCCTTCACAGCTGACATCTCCCTCCCTCAGCCCTTGCTGAGTGTCACGTGATGCCCCCACGATCCCACGTGGGAGGTGGGCTGGACGCGGGGTGTCACCCCTTGTTGCAGGGGAAGGAACTAAGGTTTGGGGTGATCTCCCAGCTGGACCCCAGGCTGCGCCTCCTCTAGACTGGATCCATCCTGCAGTGGCCACTGAGGGTGCCTCCCCAGCCCTTGTCCAGCCCAGCCCAGTGGATTCCAGCCAGGGGAGCAGGATTCCAGCCCTGGGAGCCAGAGGCCCTGCTGAAATCAAGTGAAATCTTAGGAATTCACCCTCAAGGCAAAGCCCCGGGCCTCCAGGAGAGGGACCCAGAGGCCAGCGAGGCTGTGGCTCTTCCTGCACCCCCGGCCCTCCTCAGCCCTCGGCTGCTTACCCCCTGCGTGGAGCATGGCCGTCAGGATGGAGGGGAACCAGGAGGTCTCGCTGTTGCTGGCCTGGAACTCGCGCTGCAGCTCAGTGAAGAAGATGCCGATGCAGGCGGGGAAGCCCAGGGTGAGGCCCTGGGCCACCACGGAGGCCAGCAGGACCACCCAGGCCCAGCAGCCCTCGGGGCGCTCCAGGGCCCCGGGCATCCTCTGCTGGGACCGCTGCCAGCGGCCGCGGCCTCGCTGCCACTGCTACCAGCGCCTGGGCCGCCTGGGGGGAGAGAGGGGTCAGAATGACGCCGCCAGCCTCCCAGCTCACCTGCCGCCTTCCCTGGGCGGCTGAAACCGTCCCTCTTGCCTCAACAGCAGGTATCAGAGGAGCGCCACCCCCTGGGCGGCGGCCAGGGGCCCACGCGCTGGCCTTGGCATCTGCTTCCAGCCACTTCCCAGAGCCAGCCTGGCGGGCGGCGCTGGCAGGTGTGGGATCGGAGGGACCCGGCAGGCGAGTGGGATTCTTTCCAGCCTAACATCACTCGGTGCAGCCGGCAGGTGGGACTTCCGGGGCGGGCCGGCCTAGGCCCGGGCACACGGCACCAGGTAACTGCCCGGAGAACGGAGCAGGGCCTGGGCCGTCCCACTGACCCCGCAGGCACGCGCATACATTTCCATTCATAACCGGGCCTCCCGCACACAAACACCGTCTTTCGCAATCCCGGAGTGGCCAAGGTGAGCGAGCTGGCGCGGAGCAGCCGAGGAGCGTACAGAACACTTCACAAGGGCACGGCCTCGGACAGCCCTGCCAGGCTCCTTCTACAATAGAAAGAGCCACGGCCAACAGTCCATGCCGATCCATGACCTACCACCTGGGAGGGCTCCTCTGCGCACTGCTCCTCCCAACACGCCAACACATACACAGCCCCACGTGGACACAAATCAAGACACATGCTCACATACAGACACACAGGTAGACACACACTGGCCTAGAAACACGCAGGCAAGCCCAGAGGCATGCAAACAAATGCAGAGCCAGGCACATGCTACATAGACCCACACAGACACACACACACACACACCCTCACATCTTTGGCTCAGTCCTGTCTCAGGTCCTTGCCACCCCCGGGCCACTCCCCCTCATCACAGAAACTGCCGTAACCAGACCTGGAAGCCCCAAGAACCCCCAGGCCCCCAAAGGCAGAGCCCTTTTCCGGACCTTCCCTCCATCCTGGCTCTCCCCAACATCCTCTTACTCACCTGCTCTCGGGGCTCCAGGCTCGGCAGCCGTGGAGCAGCTTTGGCCTCCGTGAAACCACGGGCCCATGCGCTCCCGCTCCCACAGCCTCCCCCCTTTCAGCCCCAGGTTCCGGGGAAGATCCATGGGAACTCAGAAACATGAAACCCCCTCTTCCTGCCAAGCCCAGCAGCCCACACCTTCCCCCCAGGCCAGGAGCTTGCGGACAGCACCGAAGCTGGGATCCACCCCGAAGGGAGTGCTCCAGGTGCTCAGATCCCTTCTCGGGGTACAGCCCTGCCCAGCCCATTGTCCCGTCATCCCAGCCTGAGGGCGTGCGTGAGAGTGTGTGACTGCGCCCTCCTGTGGGCGGGCCAGGAGCAGCTCCTGCCCCCGGCTCCGGCCTGGGGCACCGGCCCTGGGTATCCCCTCGTCCGACCCGGGCAAACCTCAGATCCGGCTCCTCCTCGCTGGCTCGGGCCCCTCCCAGGGTTTCTGTGCCCTCAGCAAGCGGAAAGGCCACAGTGCCACCTGATCCTCCCCAGGCGACCTGAATGTCAAGTCCCCACACCCTCGCCCATCGCTCGCCCTCCTCCCTGTCACATCGCGGCTCCTCCGCTTTCCAGGATGGGCCCCTCGCTTCCCCTCCTTGCTCCCAGGAGGGCCGCCAGCCTTCCCCTGCACCCCCACTTCCTCCCACTCTCCCCTCCGCGGCCGCCGCACCCCGGCACTCCCTTCCCCTCGGAGCAGCACAGGCACGCAGGGGGGTGGCGGGAGGGGAGATGGGAGGAGAGACATGGCCCCTCTGGTTCACCCTCGTCCTGCCCCTCCGTGCAGCCGTCCCTCTCGCGCCCCTCTCGGCAGCCCCTTCTCCAGACAGCGCCTTTGGGGACCTCCACTCTGCACCCACCTCACTCCAGGAACTTCACAGCTTCTCCTCCCCGGAGGCAATCAGAGCCTAGGACACCGCTCAGCACCGGGGCCCTCTCATAGGGTGCTGCCTCCCAGCCTGGGCACCCCTGGCCTCGTCCCTCGGGGTGCTCCCCCAAGGACCCAGCCTTCCTGGAGAGGAGAGAGGGCCAGCCTCTCACCTCAGCATCTCCAGGCTTTATGTCCCGTTGGTCCTTCAGGCCAACCCCCCCCCCCCCCGCCCCCGCCTCCAAGCAAGCTGTCCCTCCCACTCCCCAACTTGGCTGTAGTGGCGGTTCCTCCAAGATCTTAAGCCGGAGAGAAGTCTGATTGGTCCTTCAAGATCCCGCCCTAGGAGGCCACCCTGACCCCCACCCAGGGGGCTAGACCCCTTCCTGTCTCCTCCCCTCAGCGGTGGTTGTCATACCACATTGGAGCGGTTCAGTCCTCCCTCCCGTCCCCCTGCCCCTTCCCCCATCTCCTACACGAGGAGCAAGCACCTGTTCCCCGCTCCCCCCAGCCTCCCCCAGAGCCCCCCAAATACTATTAACGTGACCCACCTGTGTTCCCCAGAAGGCGGGCAAGCCGAGGACCAAGGCCGAGCTGGCTTCCTGGCGGGCAGGGCCATTCCAGAAGACTCCGAGACGCGACGGGGCTGGGGGCTCTGGCGTGGCCTCGGCCCCAGCGGGGAAGTGGTCTCTCCTCCGGGCTGGGAACCATGAGTCACCACCTGCTGGTGTGCGGTCGGGGCAAGGAGGGAGATGCGGCTGGGGACACCTCACTCTCACTTCCTGGGCCCGGGGGTGAGCCAGTCCCCTCCGCGTTCAGGGGCTCCCCCGACCCAGCGACCACCCTCATGCCCAGGGGACAATGCCAGGATGACGTGTGTCACCCTCCCAACCCCAGGGCTGTGTTTAGGGCCTCCCGTCGGATGTCAGAGGCTTGCTGGGCCCTCAGCATCCTCTCCCTGTCCTTCCCAGTGTGCCAGCATGGTGGAAAGGCCCAGCCATGCTCTCATGCCGGGGTGTGGGGGTTCCTGGGCAGGTGTGCAGAGTGGAGGGCCCCTTCTCTCGTCCCCTCTCTTCTCACGGTGAGGGCAAAGGAGGGGCCAAAGCCCCAGAGCAGCCAGAGGAGGGGCACGAGGCAGGCCCTGGAGACCCCCTCCCTCGCCAGACCACACACATGTCCGGATACAGGACACAGGGCACGGTGCAGGCAGCTTAGGGCTCCCCGTGGGCCCCGGAGCTGCCAGCGCCAGCGGGAACCCTCAAACCCCTGCACCTGGCAGGGGCCCCGGAAGGAAGCAGGCAGGTCCGGAGGTCACCCTCGCCCTTCTCTGCCCCGAACGTGGCCCCACAGGCGCCGGCCGGCCACAGCCTGCCAGGGAGGTGGTTGGCAACAGAAATTGGTGACCTCTTGCCACCCTGGGCCCTGTCTGCCGTCAGGGATCCTGTTTCCACTCGGCTGCCCACCCTCCCTGGACGGAGCTCCTCGGGGTGGGGCTTGGGGACGTCCAGGCGGCGCCCGTGAGCACATTTCAGGCCAGGCCTGCGGGGTGGGGGGGTGAGGGTGCCCATCCCCTCGCTCCCCAGGTCATGGGGATCAAGCAGTCGCTTTGGAGAGACCCCTCAGGGGCGGGGGGGTCCCCGCCATCGGAGCTGGGGCAGCCCAGCACCCGGGACAATAAGGCTTTCCCAGATCCTCGCCCCTGACCGGCGGGAAGGGGCTGGGGGACCCCAAAGGGAGGGTCAGCCGCGCGCAGAAGGAGGGGGGACCCCAGAGGGAGGGTCGGCCGCGCGCGGACGGGGTGGGGGGCCCCCAGAGGGAGGGGCAGCCGCGCGGACGGGGCCCCGGCGGAGGCGCGCCGCGGAGCGCGGGGAGGGAGGAGCCCGCTTACCGGCTGGGGCCCCGCCGGCGGCCGCAGCTCCGCTCCCCGCCGGCTTCCTGCGGCCCGGCCTCCGGCCTCCGGGCGGAGGGGCAGGCGGGGCGGGGGCCGGGAGGCGGGCGCAGGGGCTGGGACACCTCGGAGCCGGGCGCGGGGAGCGCGGCGGGGCGGGCGGGGCCCGCACCTCATCCCGCCCGGCCCCTCCTCCGAGCGGCGTGGACCGTCCGGCCGCCCGGCGGCCCCGGCTGGGCGGGGCTCATTTGAATGTCGTTAGCATGTGATTTGCATAGACCATATGCTCCCTCTTGGGGACCCCAGGAGAGCGAGGGAGAAAGCGTGCGATCAAGAGGCTCCCTCTCTTAGCGGGAAGGGGGTGGGAAGCCAGGGTGGTTAGCTGCCCGGGGTGGGGGTGGGGGCTTCCAATGACAGGCCAGAGCGTGAGAGCCACACCCTCTGTCCTCGCCCCCAGCTAGCCAGCCCTTGATATGCATTGTTTGAAATGTAGTTACTTTTTAAATTTTTAATTTATTTTTAAATTTTTTTATTAAATTATTATTTTTAAAATATATATATATTTTATTGATTTTGTACAGAGAGGAAAGGAGAGAGATACAGAGTTAGAAACATCGATGAGAGAGACACATTGGCCAGCTGCCTCCTGCACACCCCCCACCCGGGATGCGCGGCAACCAAGGTACATGCCCTTGACTGGAATCAAACCCGGGACTCTTCAGTCCGCAGACCAACACTCTATCCACTGAGCCAAACCAATTTCGGCAAAATAAAACACTTTTTAAGAATAATATATTTTGATGGATTTCAGAGAGGAAGGGAGAGGGAGAGAGAAATCATGGATCGGCTGCCTCCTGCATGCTCCCCACTGGGGATTGAGCCCACAACCTGGGCATGTGCCCTTGAGCAAAACCGAATCCGGGACTTTTCAATCCGTAGGCCGACGCTCTATCCATTGAACCACACCAGCCAGGGCAAAAGAAAACACTTTTGTGCATCAAAGGATGCCACCGGGAAAGTGAAAAAATTACCAGAATGGGAGGAACCATTTGTATCTGATAAGGGACTTGTGCTGAGAACTCTTACAACTCGGTAGTAAGAGGACAACCCAGTAAAAAGCCGGCAAAGGATCTGAGTAGCTATTTCTCCAAAGCAGCCAACAAGCACATGAAAAGATATTCAACATCCTTATCATCGGGAAATGCTAATCAAACCCACGGGAGATACCATCTGCCACCCACGAGGTGGCTTCACCTCTGGGTGTATCACAGAGCGATACTTGTGACGGGTTGGAAGGCGTGTCTTAGACACGTCGTCGCTGTGCCTGTGGTTCCCTTTTTGTGCCACCCGTCTCCGTGCCCGGCTGGCTCTGACACGGGAGGACATTCAGTGTAACTGGAAGGTGTCTGGATGTAAACCGTGGGAGTGTTGTGGGCAGTTAGGCGGACCTGAGCAGAGCAAGGGCGACGGGCCAGGTACAGAAGGTCACCAGGGCGGGAAGCCCGGGGCCTGGCAAAGGGCAA